ACAACATTCTAAATAAAAATTGATTTTAATATTGATTTTAATGAAATGCGTTAAAAATTAAATAGCAAATTAAATCTTTCAATGTTAAACATAAGAAACAAACAACATATTTCTTTCCTCATGCATATCTTTGTTTCACATAATATTATATGGACAAAAACGGAGTAATCTATACTGATAGGTACCTATTACAAAGAGGTAAAGTTTGTAAATTATGAGTTTGTGACGTTGTAGGGGGTAATCTCTGGATCTACTAAACCGATTTAGATGAAATTCGGTAAAAAGATAGTTTGAGACCCTGGTAATGACATCCCTTAATAGGGTGAAAATGGGGATGAAAGTTTGTATTTGGAATCAACCTAGGGACGAACCCGTGCGAAGCGAGGGTGAGTCGCTAGTCCTTTATAAAACCAGTATTTCGATAACGTGTCTAATTTATTGTATATGGTCCCGAAATCTGGTTATACCATGGAAACAACAACGAAAAAAATTAAGGTTTTTATATCGTCAGGTGCATGGGCTACGTGACGTTAAGCAGAAAGCAGTAGAATAAAATTGTTCCTCGGGTATTCCCTGGTGCAATTCCATTCCAACCCTATAAAATATAACAATAGGACACAAAATATATCCCTTGTACAAAAGTGTTCCTTACTGATAGTTTCTGCGGTCGATTTTGTCTTAAATGTCAGTAGAGAGGGGTAGTACAAGTATTTCTTGATGAATACATTAGCAGCTATGTATCGTAAAGAGTGAGAGTGAATCGATTATGTGATTGCGTAATTGTGTAGTGGAGCAATTAATTAATGCCAACGTAATCATTCTAACAGCACGCATGTGTACCAGAACCTAGATATAAAATAAAATAAAATACTTAAATATTGCACATATTTAATGAATTACGGCTAACGATAAAGTTGTTTATATTTGTTGCCGTAATATAAAATACTAAGGTAAACTATAGAGTATAGCATCTTAAACAACGGTCCGTATTATCATAATGTAATACAGGTCATTGAACCATACTTTCGAAGTGACGTCAAAATTTTTCACAACAAATGATCGAGAAAAGTTTAAATTAAAAATACGCTAAACGATGCAAATTTTTCGAACGCTTGCTCTTTTAGTCTCAATAAAAACAATTGTGATGTAATTTTTTGTAAATGTTTATCATAACAGTTGGTGTCTCCTTGTAGTCCATTTTAGGATAGAACGGATGATATGGAAGAAATTAAATAAATGTTAATTTGTAAGTCGTGTCTTTACAATTATTAATTTAATGGCTAGCAACGCAACCTTTACAGTATCCGGTAATACGGAATTGATGATAAGTCGTCAATAAACTGTGAATATTTTTAAATAAATATTTTAAAATGAGGTAGTATACTATAGAAAAATAACAAAAATATAATGCTTTCAATATAAAATGAAAACTTAGGTTGTTTGTTATTCCTAAAAAGTAGATGGATATAAGGATTTGATGATATCAGTTACCAAATTTATTAATACATATTTAGTTTTATAAATATTCTTGAGCATTAAGATTTAATACACTTTAAATCAAAATATTTCAACCATAAAAAAGAAGTTGAGTACTTTAAAGTTAAAACTAAAATCGATTAAAATAAAAGCTTTCTTTTAACAAGTTAAAGGTGGTTGCGTCAAGACCACTACAAACAATTAAATTCGTTAAATTAATATCACTTTTGTGCCGAAATATTCTCACAAAGCGACGCGTAATAAGGGACCAGTGTAGGAGCTTAGGCTTTTGTGAGTATTGGACAAAGGGAACACGTACATAAGTAACAAAGCTCATTCTTTATTCCCTTTATATTTAATGCGTGGCTTCGACATGTCTTTGAATATGAAATATTTTTTAACAGAAACAAGTAAGGTATTGAACATGTTCATGTACTTCATGAAATTGAGATTTTTGTATTTCGTTATCTATTCCGGACTATAATCTAATCAATATGCCAAATTTCATCCAGATCCGTTTAGCCGTTCTGGAGTTATTGAGTAACTAACATCCATCTAAACTTTCGCATTTATAATATTAGTAAGATGAGAGTATGAGTATCAGATGATAGGCATTGCATACTTTAAGAACTTAGTACAAGACATATGAAACACAGTTTATATTTATGATTACTAACTAAAACTAAGCGCATTATTAGATACCTATATAATACAGGTAACATATTTAGCAACTTATAAAATAACGTGTAATTATATATTTATTTAATATAAGTACTGTGTAACTATAAATGTTCCTGTTCAATTTTTTCTGTTTAAAATTATTAAAGAAATCGTAATTATTTACAGAATTGTAAGCTCGAGCATTCTTATTGCGTGTTTAACCGGTTTAAAGTTAACATATGTATAAAGCTTGATCACTTGATGACGTCGTACAAAATTCTGGTCAAACTACATTCAATCGAATTTATTTAATCTTGATTATTTTGTTATATCATGGAGAGATATAATATTATTTTGTTTAGTTTAGGCATATTGATATATATTTCTGTCTTTATGAAAAAAACGCAGATTTACTTTCTTTTTTTTTCCCACGTACGCTATACGTCATACGTGTAACGTCTATTTACCTACGTACAAAATATTTCATAATATTTTTATGTACTGTTGTACATTATTAGTAACCACAATTTATTACCAATTACCATTTTAAAACAAAAGCCTGTATAAATTGCGTTTAGCCAAATGTAGACATTGGTAAAACAGACGATTAGGCATCGCGTTTCATAAGGATTCCCTTATCGTGGAGCTTCTGAAATGGCAAAAACGAAATTCTTGGAACCGCCCTCTGCCATTCTTGGAATTCGACTTTTTGTTGCCACTGACGTATTGATTTTTTGCTTCCTCGAAGGTAACTTTAGTATTTGGACTTCTTATTCAACGCTTACTTTCGAAAAGCCTCTAAGAATAACATTTAAAATTTAAATATAGTTTTATAAAACTTGCAGGAGAATATTATTTACGCAATGCGGGAGCTCTGGATAGATTGTATATATTTATCATCTATACGTACAGGTTTTAATATATTTGATATCGTTGATAACTTAATAAGCATAAAATGTAAATCTTGGTAAATAGATTACATGAATACTTCTTCCTTATCAAGACCTATTTTCTAACCACTTATTATTAAATTTAGAGCTAATTAATTCACATGATAATTATAAAATACCATTTTCGTGAATTAGGCTTAGATGTCGTTCAATCTTAATTCTTATTATCGTTATCTCGAAGCTAAGACAGTCTTGTTTATGAACTCTTTGTTTTGACATCACGTTCAAGTTACGACTACGCATTTCTGACTTATTCGGTGATAAAAACAATGTGATAAGTATCAAAACATCAAATGGCTGTATTTATTTTGAGTGGATGATCTTACTCTGCATAAAACACACAGTTTAGTATTTCATATACGTATGTACAATTAAAATATACGTAAATAACATTTAAAACGTTGATGTTTACAATATCAGAAAGGAATATCTGCATCTCTAACGATTCTACTACGATATAACTATTTCAAATAAGTATTTCTATGATAACAGGCCAAAATAGTACCAGAAAGCAATACAATACATAATAATAAATAATCTGATGTTGTTATTGTCGGTCACGTAGGCCAAAGAGTGAGAGAGTCGATATTGTGTGAGGGGATCGAGGAGGGGTGCAGATAATGCTAGAGAGGGACAGACGTATGGCGTGACAACAAACATGGCGACGCCGGTAGCCGGTCGAACCGGTTACCACGTGCTCTCCGTTGTACAATGTTTGTCAACAAACGCCCTATGAAGGTCACTACAAGGGTTGGCAAGACAAAGGACTCGTATCATAATTCCATAAATTGAAGAACTAAGGACTTTTTGCAAAGCGGAATTTGCTTTGTATAGACTTAATTTGTGTATAGAAAATTAAGCCGTTCTTATTGTTTTTAATTACTTTATTTCTTCGATGTGAATATCTTTTTTGGTCAATTTGCATATTCACTTTGCAAATATTTGTTATTTTTAATCCATTGTCAATTATGTTATAATGAAAACATAGTTATTATTCATACTATTGTTGCACAAATTGTCTGAATTAATGGTATCATTTAAATAGTTACCTGTTTTTTTAGTTGGAAGTCTTTGAAGGAATAGAATTAAAAAACTGAGTACAAATAACAAAGATCATTTATTTTCTCGACATAGATGGATAATTGGATCCTATGTGGCTATGTCTAATTTTAAAGAACCGCATGATTACGTGCCTCTAGGCGTACCTGCCTAGCAAAGATGATGCAATGACTCGCAACGCAAATGTAAACAATAATTGAAAACATATTCACGTGTTACAAAAGCTTTGGTATTTACTATTTATTAGTTTATTACAACTTCCAATTTCTTTCTTTTACTTTTTGAGGTTACATGAGAACATCTGGCATCTATATGCGTACCAAAAAGCTGTGAATGCGGTGCTATACATCGGGACGGTGGATAAGAAAAAATAAACGAAAAAAAAAATGTAAACACGTCAGCGGTGTGAGCGAGCGCGCATGCGCCGACGAGAGGCCACAACGACGCACTAGTACGCGGGGGGAGGGGACGAGGGGGACGGAGCGGTGAGGGGGAGGGGGCGGTCATACGATGTGCGCCGCGCTGGTTCAACCGGCAACTCTTCAGTTGGATTTTTGAACATCGAACGGGCGGGCGTGTATAGGATGGATGGCTAACGACACCAGTAGTTTTTTTTCATTCCGCCTTCTATCAGTGTTTGTTTATTACCTTCCGGCACACTATCCGTAAATCCTTCTCGACGGTGCTTATTATTTCTTTAGTTTTTTTGGCGTTTATGTTTTTATCTTTTCTTAAAAGCGCCGTTCCGATTTCACGTCGAGAAGCAGCCGCACAACTTTGAAAGCGGCTTTGGGAGTAGTAACACCTACTCATAATTTTGTTATCGTTGTAAGAAAACATCAGGCAATAATCAAAATGGTGAAGAAGATTTCAGAAGAGAGTGTAGACAGTGGTAAGTAGCATAATATTGTATTTAAATTTTCAAAGTAACGTTTATGTTATTTTTACATACCGGCTTAAATAATGTAATGGACCCACCATTTATTATTCTGTCGTTATACAAGCGTAAATATTATACTATTTATATCAAACGTATCTCATTAATTAAAGTTAAACCATAATATAAACGTATCATTGAAATATGCGACCTTTATAAAAAATATTACCTACATCAATATTCAATACTGTTTTGTAAGTAGAGACAAATAGACGTTAGCAATTAGCATACTTATATTTTTTTCAGTGAAGGGAATTTGAGAATTTTCCTGTATTTTTATATTAAACTGACCTCTAAGAGATTGAGATCATTAAGAATGCCCTAGTTTCCAACGTATCAATCAGACCTTGTGTTGCATCAGGTTTATTGAACTATTACAAAAACATAAAAAAATTAGGTTTTTAAAGAAACATCATACAGTTACCATACAAATGAGGCGTAATTACATTAACGCAACTGTGAAAACTTTGAATAAAATCTGTCAATAATTAATTTTATGTTCCTTCGTCGCTTGTTTAAGTCAAGGTGTTCTTCAAAACAATAATTATAATTATGTAGATTGATTCCAAAAAGTGAAGTTATAATGTCATTTTTTTAATATTCTGAATATTATATCTTTAAAATTAAAATCATTATTAGTTTTAAATTCACAATTATTACGCGTTAATTTGTAATTTTACTTATCGATAATAATATAAACCGATTTATTCGATAACTTTGAGAAGTCAATGACATCACTAGCTCTGTCATTGTACTATTATAGTAAGTAACCTATAGTTGATTTGGCCAGAATATCTGTCCCAAGTTTTGTTCAGGTGCAATGTGTCTTATAGAAAAGGCATGGTTTGCGAAAAAGTCTCGAGGTACAATCTATTTTTCCATTGAAAACTATATGAAGAAATTTCATATTAAGAAGAGCTCTACTAACTGCCTGCTGAAATAAAAGTTCAGATATTTTTATTTTACTATATCTTATCTTCGTGTTTCCAATTAAACTTTGATAGCTACGTAAATTAATACCGGCGTTAATATTTCGTGAATGGTTTATTTATATTTAATTCCTATTGAAGTCATTAATCTTATTAAATCATGAATCCCTTATTATAAGCAACCTATACTGTCGAAGTGATATCGCCGAAAATAAGAATAAAAGCGTGGAAAATAATTATCATTCATATTGTTATAATTGTTCTTATTAGAATAAAGGATAAAATAATAGACATTAACTCGAATCTTTAGCTTTCAATGTACTATACTTAGGGATTATAGAATATAGACCTCAGAAGACAAGACGGAGTAACATGTTCAAACGTTATTAATGACTTATGGCTTGTTATTCTTACTATTGCACTACACTTGCATCATAACGCTGACCAACCTTAACATTGCCTTCGGTTATGAACTTTATGGGCGGGTGACATGACGCTAAGTGCATCTATTGTTCTATTTATAAATAAGTAATAGGTAACACTGATGTTTACTGTTTCATCACCTTGCTAAATTTTGCAGCTCACTCAAAAATACCTTTCCGATTTACAATACGCAAAACCAAAACAAAAACAAAAATACCAACCAAAACAAAAATAGATATAACGAATATCGTATTTTATTATTTACATTTAAAAATATATTTTTGTGTTTGAATTCATTCAAATAGAATATAAGTAGATATGTTATGAAAATAATACTACTGGAAAAAATTAAGTCATACAGTAACCACATTAATGTATTTACTATCTATAAATCTATCCCTCAGGAACCGTATATTTTCCGAGATAAAATAACTTATGTTTTATTCCAGACTATAATCTATCTCTGTGCCAAATTTCATCCAGATCCGTTCAGCCGTTCTGGCGTAAAAGAGTAACAAATATCCATACATACTCACAAATTTTATAATATTCTATTATATAATACGGATTTAATAATTAGGTACTAACTACTACGAAAAATATGGTTAATATAATTATATGTAAAAAAAACGAATAATTAGTATGTAGTTAATGGCTTTTAATGTTATTCTAACGTACTTAAGTCAGCAAAACTAAAAAGAACTTTATTTTAAAATATATAAAAACTATACAAAAATGCTTATTAAATAAACATTCAAATGACCTACTGAGAGGACATTTACTTGTAATATTATATTTGAGTGTAGAATTTCACGAAATTTAAAACATATTTTGTAATGGTTATCAACTTACTTTCCGATTTATATCTTACGAGCAGAACCCGCTAGGCTTCGCTCGCGCTAAAACTACAAAAAAAATCTCTAAAAAGGTAGTTTCATACAAACTTTCATCCCCTATTTTACCCCCTTATAGGATGAATTTCAAAAAATGCTAAAAACGTGTTTATTTAATTTTATTGAAGAGCATTAATATCAAGTTTCAAGTAATTCTGATCATAAATATTTGTTTTTGAATTATAATTAGATAATCTCCCGCGGTAAAAAGTAGCATATTATGTCACTCTCCAGCCCTCCAACTATCCCCACACAAAAAAATCACGCCAATCCGTCACTCCGTTCCGACGTGAAAGATGGACAAACAAACACACTTTCAAATTTATAATATTTAGTATAGTTTCTTTTTATGATAATTTTAGGTGTAAATACATATATAAATATTATTTGTATGTAATACCTATTGTAAGTTATTTTATATGAGCCATAGTATATATATATATGTATAGTTCTCACGGTTTTTATAGCTCAAACAGCGTGTTTTTGTTTTTTGAAGAATGCTAAAACAATTTAATGTAATTTCTTTATTATCCACGCTTTTATTTCAACATGGCCGGTGGTGCGCGACGCCCCACAACGTTCATTGTCAAGGTCACCTAACATCAAACTGCGCAATGAGTAGTATACATACTTTGTATAATATGGAGTATAGCGTATGTATACTGGTATGGTTGTACCGATGCACAAAAACGAACAAACTTGTCACAGATATTTTTAGATACCTACAAGGCGCTAAATGAACGTATAAGAATATTATGGAAACAGGTTTCGTGGCGTTTTATTTTATCCGTTGAATAATAGTTACTCCGCAGTATGTTTTTATGTTTCCTTGATGCAAATAAATCTGCTTTTATTTCTAGTTCCACTTTATAATAATTTAACTTTTAACCTTTTGAATCCGTGTAAAGTGTTATTTGTCTGGCATTTTTTGTTGATATTTAATAACAATTGTTAATATTTGCAGTTCTTAGGAATGTTAATGAGACATGCTAAATTGCATCTGACTTGTTTTTATGATCGTGGTTGATTAAAATAAACTCACTCGTGTGTATCAAATGAAGAATAACCTTGACCATGACTGATGTTATTCGCTGATGTCGCATTGCTTTGCCAATTTCTCGATGAAAATGTAATTCGGTTATAATCGATTTTATTCTTCACTGCGTTGTTCTATTAAAAATCTTCACCGTTGCTTAATAATTAAAAAAATTAAAACTAAATCAATTCTTTATTGTAAAATGAACAAATTGATTAGGCGTCACCAAGATGGCTGTTCTTTTATGGGTATTAATAAATTATTCCAGCAATGCTAATGAGTTATTGCGATATAATTATATATTGAACTGAGATTTAAATTATGTACTAAGATCGTATTTTCCATACAGTTAGCACAGGTTAGTTACATAAGCGGTCATCAGATATGGGTCTAAATATCACCAGTGAAAGCAGTTTTGTAAATTATAGAAATAGCTGTGTCCTCATCAAGATTTCACTGTTATAACTATCTGGTTCAGTTTAGTGACAGTGCCAGGTCGACTTGGCAATTTATTCTTGCTGCTTGCCATGCATTTAGTTTAACCAAGTCAACTTTGATCTTATTCACCATCGTTAGTTACGAGTAAAGAATTAATAATTATTATTAATTAATATGTTGGGACATTAATACACAGCACCATCTAGTTCCATGGTAAGCTACGAGGCCTGTGTTATGGATACCAGATAGTTAATACACTACACATATATAACTTTAAATACATACATATAATAAATGTAAACATCCATGACTGGAGTACAAACATTCGTCATCACACAAATTCACATGGCATACATGTATTTTATCAATTTCTACATACTTGAATTGTCATAATCTATACTAAAATTAAAAGAGTAAAGCTTGTGAGTTTGTGATGTTGTAGGGTGTAAGCTCTGGATCTACTGAACTGAACCGATTTAGACGAAATTTGGTAAGAATATAGTTTGATACCCTAGGATGGATACTTTTCATCCCGAAAGTCATATCTTAAGGGGGTGAACATGGGGATGATAATTTGTATTAGGAAGCTAGCTAGGGACGAATACGAGCGAAGCGAGAGTCGCTAGTAATTAATAATAATCAGCTTTGTTTATCCCTTATATCTACGTCTGAAGATTAATTTTAGTTTCAATGACGTAAATTAATAAATATAATTAGTAATTGGAAGGTCAATGCAATAGAAAGCGTGTTGCTGGTCGCTAGCTCACGGGTACGAAAATATTCTTTATTCAAATGGTAGATCGTAACCAAGATTAATACCTATAAGTAGATTAGAAAGTGGGAACTGTACCCTAGTAGGGCAATGTTATGAAAATTTAAACAGTAAATAAAAAGGTTTTAAGTACTATATTAAACTGAATAAAGTTACTGCTTTAAAAACTACCTTTACATTTTTTTTTATCTAATATCCAACGTACAATGAATCGATGTTAAATAAAAACTAGCAGAATTCGCGGCTTCGATCGCGTTCTCGATCTACAAAAAACTTTGGCTTATGTTATAAAGCGACTCACCCTCGCTTCGATCGGATTCGTCGCAGTTTTACAATAATGTATGGAAGTCTGCCCGATTTGTTGACATTTACGATTATTGCTCCGCTCCCTTGGGTAGTAGCAGGATGTTATTATAGCCTATAGCCTTCCTCAATAAACAGGCTATCTAATGCTAAAAGGTTTTTTTAAATCGGATTAGTAGTTCCTGAGATTAGCGCGTTCAAACAAACAAACTCAGCCTCTTTGTAATATTAGTACAGATAATAATTGTTTTGATCACTATTTAAAGGGGAATTCTTTATTTTAATTAATTCACTCAGTGCATTCGTTCAAAGTTCCAACACGTTTAAATTGTATCAATGGCCATTGATATAAATTGCTTCAATGAATGAGCCATACAAGCATTGCCACTTGAAAATGGACTCCGTTCAATTTTCTCAAGTATTCCAATATATCAAGAAAACGCCCTTTGTTTAACATTTGTTTCAACAGTGCAATAAATCGAATCGTAAATCATCGATGATAATAATAGTATCTAACACTTACTGTATCGTTAATTGTAGTGTTATCAAAAGAAACAAAGAATGAATTTTAATTGTATTTTTAAATCAAAATTCTGCCTATCTTATTAATTATTATAATTTATTGTATTATGTTTCAACTTTAACGTAAACTACTGTAATAGAACACTCGTCCAGTTGGGGACGACGCGTGGGCGGGTCTTTTAAGAATCTAGGTTTCCGTATCATTTCACGACGAGCGTATGGTGGGCGAATCATTGATTGATTTAGTCTTAATTTTAAATAAATTAAAGTGTATTACCTTGTCTACTTAGATAACTATAAACAGAATACATAATGATATTTATATAAGATCCTGTTATAAACAGGAAGCATCTATGTTAAAACAGGCGATTGTTTGAGTGGGTGTGTCTCCCGATTGTACAATCGCCATTTTATTGCGCATTTGCTATGTATCCTGTGTTTTGTATACTATACAACAACATTAAGCTTTATTGTTGTTAAACAAAATTATGCCTTACCCCCTTGATTTAAAGGCCTAAATGATTTATACCATTTTGTAGGTATTAGGCATTTTGTGTAGCGTTCTTTTCGAGGTCACAGAGTGTAATTAATAACTATGTAGAATCAACTTTAGCTATGGTGTTTAATTTATAAAAAAAAAAGTTGTATTATTTACAATATTTAGTAACAAAAAGATCGCCTTTCAACAAAAAACAAAGTGAATTCATAATTTTCACTCAGATTCTTATGCGGGACACAAACATAAATAATTTTCAACGCAGTCATCCAACTATAATCAGTATCAATAAGGAAGTTAAGCTGAATATGTAATTATTTTACGGAACTTGTTACTGAGGTCTTGGAACGTTACTGTTTAAGACAAAGAAAAACTATAATATAATACTTTCAAAAGGATGTGTCAAGAAATCATTGTTAAATTTATAATTGGTCGTTTTTTATATTGTATATTTAGTTATCTGTTTCAACATCTCGTTTTCTTGTTCCTTCGTATTAAATATAATTATTTAACTAGCCACTTACCCTCGCTTCGTTTTGTTTACAATTTCATGGGTTTTAATGTATTTGTGCGGGATCTTGATTCTGTTTCTAAAATAAAAGTAGCCTAAGTTACTCCTTATAACATCAGCTATCTGCTAGTAAAAGTCCATTCAACGTTTCGGAGATTAGCTAGAACAAACAGACAGGATTTTTTTTTCTTATTAGTACCTACCGTATACATATAGTTTCCGTATACATGTTGTTTTATTTATCTGTATAGATGAATAGAAGATACCCTTGACACCTCCAGGTAAATTTCTAAGAAATTAATTAAAATTTTAAGAAATCTATTGTTAACTGACACGCCGGCGTGTCCGCAGTCGTGGAGGGATTAATAGAAATGTAAATTATTTCTTATCATCATAGGATTCATAGACCTCTAGTGGAAACGATCCACGTAACGTGGGCGCGTTCATACAGTCGCATACGCAGCGCTGGGCGCGGCCATGTAGGTCGTTGAACCGGCTTTGTTTGCCAACTCAGCTGCACACACGTCTCCCGTCTGAATGTTGTATCGTTGACAGTGCCCCTAATAGATACAAAGTGCCGATTACCACTTATCATTAGCACATAATATTTTTCATATTCAAATTCAACCGTTGAATGGTGAAAATGTTATAACAATGGCAGAAAACGTAGTGAGAGCTATAGCTCGTAACTGCTGGTCAGTTATTGTTTTTCAATATCGTCATTGTTTTTAACTTCTCTTTTTAATTAAAAGAAATTTTGAGTGATGACTGATTTTTTTGTTCTGGCAACTAAATTTACGAGACACAATATCAGTGGCATAAACAATGCGTGTATCATTCTATACACGCAGTACTTTAGGTTAGTGTTTAGTTATACGTGCACGGATGTGAAAGCTGTATTAGTTTAGTTGGAAGCTTATTGGTCGAGATTAGATAAGGTCGTGTAACGCTCTGTACACATAACGTTCAGGCTGACCGAGTGTTCTTCATTAAGATAAATCTTGGCTCTATAAATTAACTAAAGACATTTCGCAATAGCTCTTCTCACTGCTGGTGACCTCGTAACATTTCGAATTTATTGTTTCGGCCTCAAATCTGGGATTATGCTCGAGCAGATATTGTATCTGTAGGTACATGTCTTGTCAATATTGACAGATAAGTCATGAAAGTAGTAAATTTTATTATTATAATGTGATTTCGCGTAAGATTAGATATAATATTGAAAAAATATATGAATAAAAAAAATGTCAATAGCTTATCTAAAAAAGTTTATTGATACTTTAAGCTGTATATATTGAGTACCTATCTATATTGTTAAATATACCTACATAAATTTCTTAGGGAAACTATCCGAATACCTACGGTTATAATAGGTACCTAATTTAGTAATATGTACAATAATTTGACTACTATTATATGAAAAGGTTGTATGTGTGTATATTTGTTACTCTTTATCAATATTTTAATCAATAATTTTTCGTTTCCCAGGCGTCGGCCGCGGCAGTAGTCAGTCGGGTAGCGAGCGCGAGTCAGACGAAGTGACGCGCGGCGAGGCGTCCGCGCCTGTGCCAATACCCGACAGCGAAGAGCTGCAGCGACGCAAGGAGGAGGCGCGCAGGAAACGCCGCAGGAAGAAGCGCTCTGGCAGCTCAGTGGTCACGTCATGTTTCCAAGGTATGTGGTGGATAGACAGGTTTTATCTCTTTATGTCATATAATATAATCCTATAATATAAATGTTTGGATGGATATTTGTTACTCAATTGCGCCAGAACAGATTTGGATGGGCACAGAGATAGATTATAGTCTGGAATAAATAGCACATAGGTTACTTTTGTCCTGGAAAAATGTACGGTTCCCGCGGGATAGATTTGTTTTTTTTTCATCAGTTTCCCTAGTTGTATTATAATTGAGTGCGTGTGTGCGCTAAAACGGTTAGAATTATTTAAATGAAATGAAGCGAAGATAAGTCACTATATGCGTATGTAAATATTTTTGTTTTGTGATGTAATGAATGATTGCATGTGGAGAAAGTTGAAAGTACCGAAGGTAAAGTAAGACTGTAGGAATATATATATTTTTAAGAAGTATGTTTGTTTCTTTTTGTGTGGATATTGTTTCTGTGAGACGAACAGGATATCGCTTATTTAAGGGTGTAGTTTAATAGTTTGTGGTAATTGGTATACTGCAAATGGAAGTTACATTTTATTCTGAAAAAATAAGTTTTTTACTTACAGCTGTAAATGCTAAGAAAAGTAATAAAATTAAATATAAAACTATCTTATTTATACATATATCTTATAATATTGATTATCGAATCTTCTTAAAATATACTACCTATATCCACATCAAGGTTCATTTAAAACATTTCTTATTATTGATTTTAAACGACGATTTGTTCTTCCATTAGTTTTATTTATCACCAGCAAATGCCTATAACAAAACGTGCACCGCAATGCTGCAAGTGCGTCTGCATTTAGACGGCTTCTACAGCATGTGCAACTAAAAATGTACAAATAAAATCCCTTTACTTAGGTATTAGTATGACGCATTGTGTTTCATATAACGTATGTAAGAGTTTATCACTAAGTACTTTCATATATACAGATTTACAACATTATTTTCCAATATTTTTTTATTACTAGTGGGTATTTAATTTACATTTTTTATATTTTATCAATATTACAAGTAACCTAATTTTCATATCTGTACAATTTATCAATAAGCTTCGTGATATTTGTGCGAATAATAATTGTTTTATGATAATAAATATGAGTGAAAGTTATCATAAAAAGGTTACCAAAGCCTTGGACTGTATTAATTATGATTAATGCTACTACATATAGATTTTTTTGACCTCTTTTAAAAGATTCTTTTGTATGTCTTTTAGTATGTATGTTACACGATATATTGGTAAACTAGCAAGTTATCCTCGTTTCGCTCGGATTCGTCCCTAGTGAAAAACAAAAACATATCTATCCCACGGGAATCGTATATTTTTCCGAGATAAAAAGTAACCTATGTGCTATTCTAGACTATAGTCTGTCTCTGTGCCAATCTTCTGGCGTGATTGAGTAACAAGCTATCCCATTTATAATATTTATGCTATTATGGGATTGTGTATCGATTTCTTTCAAAGAATCATTTTTAAGTAAAAAAATTACACTACTGGTGGAATAAATACTGTTAAGTGCTTTTGAAGTCTGTATACCTTTTCTAATTTTAAAGTAATAAGTGTCGAGAACGAATAAATAAAATAAATTTAGTGCTATAATAAGTTTTTTTATGTATCCTACTACTTAGCAATCTGCTTGTTCCAAACAATAATCTAATATGCTGTCAGATTTTCATCAGTAAATATATCTTCAGCAGAGACATGCACTCAGTGGTGCAATCCTTATCTTTTGTCTGTCTGCCTGTAATCTAGTGCTAGTTCTGATATTCTATTTCTCTTAAGTCGAAAGTATCTGAGACTACCAACTCCCTGCAGTCCGGCAGCTAATTCGTTGATATATCGGTCCATTCTGGCTTGATAATTATTGCTGTTTGACTTAATATACGAAAAGCAAATAATATACAAAAATATATAATAAGTAAATCAAATAATTTGTTGAGAAACTAAAGCAAACATTCACACTTGCAGACCTTTACAAACTAACGGGGGAGGTTCTGGGCGAGGGTGCGTACGCCTCGGTACAGACGTGTGTCAACATATACACGGGGCAGGAGTTCGCAGTTAAGATCATAGACAAAGTGCCGGGGCACGCCCGCGCCCGGGTGTTCCGCGAGGTGGAGACCTTCCACTACTGCCAGGGACACCCGAACATAATCCAGCTCATTGAATTCTTTGAGGACACGGACAAGTTTTATCTTGTCTTTGAGAAGGTTAGTTTATTTATATTTGTTACTAGCATTGCCCGCGGCTCCGCCCACGTTCAGGTGACCAAAAACCAAATTCTTAGGTTTTACATCTTTAGTATACTCTTACAGTACAGTTTTTGTATTTTTTCTCAGAAATGAGATATTTTCCCGTGGTAAAAAGTATCCTATATGTTGACCCGGATAACCAGCTATATTACCATACCGAATTTCATCAAAATCCCTCCAGTAGTTTTTCTGTAAAGCGGTAACAGACAGACAGACAAAAATTCAAAAAACTATAGATTCGGCCTCTGTATCGATAATAATGTTTATTTCAATAAGATTTTCCAAAAAATATCTAATGTACAGATTCGGCTTGGTTACAATTTTATTATATGTATAGATTACTTATTATTTCTATACATAATACTAGTGGTTTGCCCTTCAAGCGTGATTTTTTTCGTCTTAGTTCACCAATGTCTTACTGGTACGTTATTTGTGATAATGTTTATAAATTATAGCCTTATATAACCTTTCTAGAAAACGCCTCTTTCTATGGGTGAATGCATAAAAATCTGTACAGTAGTTTCCGAGTTTAGCCTGAACAAATATAAATTCAACTTTTATTTATAAAATGTAGAGATTACGCAAAATACCCAAGTTAAAAAGGGAGAAATCCGATCCCGCAATTAAATATCAACGACTGTCTAGCTACCCCAATGAATTAGAAGCCCAACTAACCGTACAGGATTACCAGAAACGCCTAAAAAGACAAATAAATAAATATGTTGGTACATTAACATTGTAAGCTACGAGGCTTGTGTTATGGATACCAGATAGTTGATACATATATAATTTTAAATACATACATATTATAAATATAAATACTCATGACTGGAGAACAAACATTCGTGCTCATTTCCCCCAGCGGGATTCGAATCCGCGACCGCTGGCACAGCAAGTAGGGTCTCTACAAACTGTGCCAAACGTGTCGTCATGACATAATGAAATTGCATAATATATTATAGCAGTGTAAATATGCAGCTGCTCTATGGAGAGGGCACTCTTAACGTGATAAATTAGGAGTCAAGACTGATGTTAGTTCAAAAAGAAACTCTAAAAAAAAGCAATTCGCAGAAATATCGTTATTACGCTGAACAGAATCCTTCTAGATTAGTTTTTTACAGCGTATTGGGCACTTTTGAAGAGAAAGATTTAGGGCTTGAGTTTTAAGATTATTCTTAATCAGTGATTAGTAATGGCCAAGTCATTCTATTAATTAAAGAAATAAATATATCTAATATTAATACGGTCACTATAAAATGTTGTAACTTAACTAATTCGGTAACGATTTATGACAAAGTTGTCGGATAGATGCTTTCATAGATAGGTAATGAATAAATTAACCGACTTGGTTTTACATTACATCTCATAGCTTTTTGAGGTAGAAGAAATGCGTTGCGAGACTTGCAATATTTTTACAGAATGTTTTTGATGGGATCTCATTTCTTTTTGTAAATATTTCTTCTTTTTCTCTTTTCTTGTACTATTTCTTTTGTGTCAGCTAAGGACTTTTTAAAAGCCCACTCCTTGTCTCTGTGGGCTTTTTTCAGAGGCTTTGATATAGGTAACAAATTTTGACAAGTCTGGATGATAAAAAATCTAAGTCTATTGTATTGGGAAATTACGGACTCCTGGACTTTAATACTACTATCTTATGCATTAAGAATAAATATGTATAGTTAATTTAACGAATATTTTAATTTCATTGTTGACCCTAAATACCTACCCCGATACTGATATTAGACTTACATAAGTTTAATAAGATGTGTAGATTTATGTGTCTATCTGCAGCATCGTAGTTAAATCCCGAAAGTTGTATTCCATTCCATTTTAAAAGTAATTTTCGAAGAGATTGATATTTCATGACCTCTATATTCCATGTTCTAATAGGTGGGTACAATTACGAGCAATGAGACGTTGAGAAGGTTTTCTAATTCATATCAACATCATACTTTGTAAAAGAAAATGTACGAGCTTTGTTTCAAAATTAAGTAATCGTCAAGTTGTTTCTTAATTAGGTATATATTTTAATCAATTCATTATAAATAACAGTAATCGAATATTAGTAGGTATAAACTATACACGCTTCACATTACATTTATGTACCCATTTGTATATGCATAAAAATGTATACAGCTACTAAAAAAGCTTAAAATATTATTTTCGCATTTAAAAAATACTTTTCTAATACATATAATTGCAAATATAAACATTAATAAATAGACCAATCGAAATTAGGTTAGTAATTACGAGGGAACATAGGATCGGACGTACAAACATACATACCTACAGGTAAAACACTAACCTAACCCCCTTTTACAGTGCAACTATTGTATAATTAATTTACCATTAATTATAAATTTTATAAGAATATATGAATGAGGTGAAAAAAATAAAAGTAAGATATCGGGAAATGAAAAAATAATATTTAATTTAAATAATGTAAGGAAAAAATAGTGTAAATTTAATTAAAATATTTTATGATTTTTAAACGAAATTTATATTTGACATAACGGCACAAATTAAGGCAAGCTATGATGAAGTTTATTTATATCAAAATATTTATATTATGTGCTATTTTATTGTGACCTAATATTTAAAAAAATACCTAAACCTTCTAGCGTTCCTTGACGTCGTTAAAGTGGAGAAATTGACTAACAAATTAAATACTTAGTGATAACAAACGGAACTCTGAGAAAGATATATTTTAAGTTGGATATTTAAGTTAATAAAATAATATATGAGTTATTCCTGTGTTTTTTTAACATGACTAATCTAAATATTGATAAATACATATTGTATGTATTAGTCAAGTAGAAGACAAACTAACGCTCCGAGGGCTCTGTACTTTTTTTTTATAGTTAGGAAATCCTATTACGGATACCACCCGAATTCCCCCGGGCGACTCTCGCTACGGAACACACGAGTGTTCGATTACTTATATATTTTTTTTATATATAAGATCTTTTATACATATAAGTTTTAATTTATATATTAAATATATTATTTCTTAAACTTCTTTACAATATTGATAATTACATTTTAGTCGTCGCTAACACTTACAGTATATCCACTATTTACCCTGCTATACATTTGGGTAGTTTAAGTGACGAAAAATGATATGTATGAACTGCAAAAATAACTTTGTAATCCCATATATCGCATATCTATTTGTATAGGAATACAAAGTTACTTATGCAGTTTGTATATCTCGAAAACAGGATTGAAATTGCATGATGTTTGAGTTTTTCCTTCCGTTATAGGCTAAACACTAATTGTGTTCAAAATTTGAAGCTCCTATGTCTGCTAGAAGTACCTTAGAATTTTGATGATCGGTGAGTGAGTGAGTGAGTGTGTGAGTGACGATATTAACGAATTTTGATCTGCAACAGTTCTTAAACTACAGGTTCAAATTGAATGTTATTTGGAAATATGCCTAGTTTTATTATGTTCTTTTAGTCACTGAAAATTCAGGCTTCTAGCTTTATCCATAACGAAGTTATGGGGGGGGGTGGAAAATGCTCTGAATCGCTTCGAGAAAAGGATGGTACTGTCGTGCCCTTTTTTGCTCGACTTGGCGGGGGCACTCCGTGCCCCCCGATGATACAGCATAAAAAGTTAACAAAATTCGATTCTCTTATTGATTTCATTAGAATAAATACATTTTATTTAACATAATATAACCCAAACAATGACACAATATAATAAAGCTCCTTTTGCAAAATATGGCATTATAATGGGTCAGGTATGACTTGTCAAGTGTGTAAATACTGAGGAATGCTTGTTAAATAAGCGTGAACGTTATTACCGTATGCTAAGTGAGTTTTCAATAAGACTATCTATTGTTCACAAATTTCACATTTTTATGGTAATTTTTTTGACAGTGCGACAAGTGTTTAATACATATAAATTTTGTATTATATTTCTTGTTAACATTTTTGAATTGGAAATTTCTTTATTTTTAAATGTGTTTCTTTTTGATATATTAACTATTTTATTAGCGGCGTACTGTACTGCCCACCTGAGCCTAAAGTGCAGTAATAGACATTTTGGTCGGTTTTGAGTTAATTATATATTCAAAATCCCCATTTTTGTAGCTATCAGTCAAATTAATTCTTTTTTCTGTAGCGCTAATAAAAGTATTTTATTTTAATGTTTTTTCGGAAGGTGTAACAGAAAAAATATCACAAATCTGTTAAAATATTCCATGTTTACCAGCTAAACCGCAGTACAATTAATACTGCACAAGATTTTTCTCTGTTTCCTAACTAAACTGCAGTGTTTTATCATATTTTGTGGCACTTAAAATAGTAGTTTGTTCTAGGAGATTCAAGAAAAAACTTATTAAAATGCAGTATTAACATTCCATACTGCACATTAACTTGTGGGGGATTTTGTAGTTTCTTGTGAAAAACTAAAAGACATGCAGTATTTAATAACTTTACTGCAGTTTAACTTGTAGGATGTTTTGTAGTTGCTTGTAAAAGACCATTTAGTTTACAATATTTATAAATTTTACTGCATATTAGTTAGTTTGCTCCATCCAAGTCATACTACCTAAAATACTTAAAGTCAAATACTATTCCCTAATACTGCGTTTTAATAGGTAAAATTATTAAAATATTAAAACACAGGACAGGCAATATCGCGGTTTGAGGCAGTCCTTCTGTCTGTCTGTCTCAAGGATCTGTGGCTTAAGGCTGACTTGACATGCCATGCTGTGTCTGTACCAAAGAGATATGGAGGGTAGAACTAAGGAGAACTATTTCTCGTATAAAAAGTGACCGCTGACAAGCATTAAATTGGTGGCGCCACAGAAAACAAGTATATGAATCTATACATCTATACAGATAAATAAAATTGTAGTGTCTGTTTGTAATGTCAAAACAAACCTTTTCACTAAATGCATATGAAATTATATACGGTACTTATAAGAAAAACTAATTTTTAAAAATTTTTGTCTGTCTGTTTGTTCCGAATAATCTCTGAAACGGCTGGACTGATTTTGACGGACTTTCAGTGGAAGGTAACTGATGTTATAGGGAGTAATATAGGCTACTTTTATTTTTAAAAAAGAATTAGAGTTCCGCTCAAAAAAAAAAGTATCCAGGGACGAACCCGAGTGAGGCGAGGGTGAGTCGCTAGTTTAAAACATAGCGTCATAAAACTAAGAAGGTGAATTAAACAAGGAAAGAAAGATTTCCGCTTTGCTGTGGCGCACTTTTCAAAATAGTTCTAGCATAGGCAAACAGCAATATAATTATATATTATTTTCAAGTAATAATAATTCAGCACACTTCACTCCGTTAAAAACTACTAACTTCACATCACATCTACTTGCTACGCTAGTGCTGTAACGGTGAGTTTCTGAGCTATAATTTGCTGCTCACTACTGGACACTTTTTCAACTTGTTTCCCATATAAGTTAATTCTTCTTGGTTCTCCCTTCCATAATCTTTTCAGACTATTATTTTTGTAAGACAAGAATATTCATTTACTAATTAGTTATGTTCAGAAGAAAGATTTTATGTAAATTTTATTGATCCATGCATGAGAAATACATGTGATATAGTTTTATGGTGGATTAACTAGTTAAGATTATCAACATCTTGTAAAGATTGTTATATTGTTAGTCATATAAAACAATTTACACTATTAGATTATAATGTACAATGTTTTGATGAATAGTTTTAATAGCATAGTCATAAATGCATGTCCAGTTTTGTTTAAGAAATTACATATTTTTATCAAAATTAAAGGTAATTTTATATTACTATAAGTGTGGAATATCAGTGTTTTGTTCAAAAAAACAGATTAAATAGCAGTATTTTCATAATATTACTGCACTTTAGTTAGTAACAATCATGGAAGAAATGTCTAAAATGCAGTAATAACAGGATTTACTGCATTTAAAACAGTTTTTGAAAACATTATACAAATAAAGTGTGTGTAGTAATAGGGGCTAAAAAATTAAAATTGCCATAATTATAGTTTTTTATAAAAAAACTAACGTAACAATGTTTAGTATTTTAGTTTGGTACATATTCTTTCACTTTCCATTCAAGGTTTTATCGAAAAGTCTCTTTTTGATATATTTTTATGGATTCTAAACTTTAGGCGCGTTTTTCTCGAATTCGTGTTTTTGCTGTTACTGCACTTTAGGTTCGGGAGGGCAGTGTACTATGGCGTCAGGTCGCAAGTTTGACCGCATGTGGTGCTTGACCACGTAACACTAATATTATTATTTTTATATATTAGCACCTGGGCGACCGAGTTTTGTTTGGCGTTTTTTTTGTATTTTTTTGTGAAAACTAGCGTTTCTTAGAAAAGACACCTACATATATAGATAAACTTAAAACAAAACCTTATCTCAACCGTTTCCGAGATACACGAAATTATATATAAATACAATAAATAAATATATAAATACAATAATTGCTGGTTTAATATTATATGTTATCATGCCGAGTCTCAATAATGACAAAAACTATATAATAAAAGTGTTATTTTTACATTTCAATTGTGCATATTATGATATCGAAAGAACAGATTATTATATGACACCTGTCATACTATTTACATAATTTTTGATTATTTATTTAAGTTACTTAAAACGAATTTGTACATAGACGTCAGCTTACAAAATAACTTATATAGTATAAATATATCTTATTAGTATTTCAATGCTTCAAGCATTTAAAAACATTCGTGTTTGTTACCGTTTAATTTATGAGTCAATGTAACTATTTCTACAATGAGTCACTAAATTCATTATTGTTTAATAAATTCACACAAGTTTGCTTTAACTTTTTAATGTGGGGGAATTTCACAATGTGGTTGGTTACCCCTTTGTCGAATCGGGTACAGCTGTGATGGAAATGACTCTGTAACCGAAAGTATTCAAATAATATTTCATTGTAAAAAAAAATACAAGATTTTTTTTAATAGTAACATTTTATTGCTACTAAAATTTTATTATTTTAAAATAGATACTCTGATTGTAGATACGTGGTTTGTGACTGCTTTCTAACGGTCTTTTTACGACTGCATAATATAATATATTATTAAGCAATATTATTAGTAATTTATATAATTTGTAAAATTATAATGGTAACTTTATATAAAAATAGAAAAATTTAAATTTCGAATGTATGTATTATGTATAAATATTATACAAAACTTAAGACTGACTTATTATATCGTCGTCAGAGTGCTTATTTGTCCAAACGGCCAATTTACCGAAAGAGTTTTTAATACACAATTTACTTTTTAAAAAACAATTAATTTTATCTATTTATGTATTTAAATCTTAAAAATAAAGCTTTCGTTTTTAAAATAAAGGAAAAAAACTCTTATTGTAAAAACAAGTATCAGTGACTTGAACAAATAAGCACTAAGATGACGATATCTAAACAATTAACTTAAACGCTATGTACATTCTAGAAATAATCTTATATGGTTATTTATTTAAATCAATAAACCCATTAAATCAGGTTAAGGCAGGCAAGAGAAGCCAGTTTATGCCAACGAGGCACGGCCTGCCTAGTGCTAAGTCTCGCAAGGTCAGAATTGTCGCCAATGTTCTAACATAACAACATGCGTATTGAGTAAACCTATACAGTACTCGATATTTTTTACCTAAGTCGTTTATATAATAATTAATGATCTCAATATTAACTTATTAGATTTCTAAGACTTGGAAATATAGGAAAATATAAGCAGTTTGTTTCGTATTTAAATATATGTATTATAGACGCTTTCATTTGTGTTTTTTTTATAATATTGTTATTTTTTCTAATGTATTGGCATATTATTTAATATTTTATACTACACCATTTTGAAAACTATGTAAATAAAACAGAACTCGAAACAAATGCCACCCAAATCCCTTAAATATTATTATCTGTAGTCGTAAGTAATATGTAATAATAATTCAACCCTCTAACCCCATTGTTAGGCACGAGCGTCCCCTCAACGCGAGGGTGATTAGGCAATAGTCCACCAAGCTGGTCAAATACGTGTCAACAGACAAAAATTTATAAAATGTACATCAAATATTTTTTGGAAAATCTTATTGAAATAGACACTATTATTGTCGATACAGAGGCCGAATCTATAGTTTTTAGAATTTTTGTCTGTCTGTCTCGGAACGCATCACGTAAAAACCACTAGAGGGATTTTGATGAAATTTGGTATGATGATAGCTGGTTATCCGGGTCAACATTTAGGATACTCTTTACTACGGGAAAATATCTCATCTCTGAGAAATCTAAACTAAACGTTAAATTGCTGGTTTATTTATAAATGTTATATAATATTAAATAATAATTTCAATTGTTCCAGATCAACGGCGGTCAGCTCCTATCAAGGATACAGGAGCATCATTACTTTTCAGAGCCGCAAGCGGCGGAGATAGTTCGCGAGATAGCAAACGCACTCCACTTCCTACACGGCAAAGGCGTCGCCCACCGCGACCTGAAGCCCGAGAACATCCTGTGCGTGAACCGCGACAGTCTCTGCCCAGTCAAGATTTGTGACTTCGACCTGGGCAGCGGTATAAGCTTTACGTCCAGCCTGGCCAGTCCATTGGCGACACCGCAACTTATGACGCCGGTATGTTAATGTTTTTGTTTAATTGAAGTTTTGGTTAATTATGTTTTAATGTACTTTTAATCTATACTAATATTAGAGTAAAGAGTTTTTTGTTTTTTTTTTGTACCGAATAAGGACGGAAACTACTGGACCGTTTAATATGAAATTTGGTATAAGAGAAGATATCCTTTAAAATGTGGTAAAAGCAATATATATCCGACTTGAGAAGTGATTATTGTTGCTAAATTCTATGGAAATTCGTTTCGAATCATTGTTTGACTTCGATTTTAAAGATCGACTATTAAAAATACACAGTTTTTATAAAAACAATAGCCTTACTAATATCGTAAATGTGAAAATATGAAATTATTTTGTACTTTTTTATACTATAACAGATTGACTTGAGTTTATGGAGAGAGAATTCTGTAAGCTAGGGAGCTTATGGATTTCTGTATTAGGAATTCTGGTTGCTTTACAACCAAGTGTTATATTATACTAGCGACTTAACCTTGTTCCTCTCGGGTCCTTAACGGTAGACACAATTTATTAGACTTATTATGTGTTACTTCGGCCATAGTGTATTAAATTATTTTAGCGTGAAGGAGTAATAAACACTAATACACATACAAAGTAGCAATTATAATAGCGATGTATTACTCAAGGTATCTCATGGATCATATCTGTGCACTAAAGATCATTTAAATCCGTACAGCCGTTTCAGCGTGTAGTAGTAACAAACGCACATATAAACTTTGCCATTAATTATATGTAATAACAATTCGATATTAGGTGGGCAGCGCAGAGTTCATGGCGCCCGAGGTGGTGTCCCTGTTCGCGGGGTCGGCGGCCACGCACTACGACAAGCGCTGCGACCTGTGGTCGCTGGGCGTGATCGCGTACATCCTGCTGTGCGGCTACCCGCCCTTCCGCGCCGACTGCGGCGCCGACTGCGGCTGGGAGCGCGGCGACAACTGCCGCGCCTGTCAGGATCTGCTCTTCACTTCTATACAGGTAGTTTGCTCTTATCTTATTGTTATTATATTGTATTATTGTTATACATACTAATGGTTTAAATGTGAAAGTTTGTATGTTTGTCTTCCTTTCACGTCGATATAGAGTGACGGATTGGCGTAATTTTTTAAAAATGTTTAAATTTTAATGTTGTATATAATTAAATAATACAAAAAAAGACATTTGGAGAACACCATATTTGTGTAGCACGCCACTAAAACGTGTAGGCTGTATCACTTTGTGGCACTAGAACGTATGTAATTTGTATATTTAATTGATGGCTTTGAAAATAACAGGTACACATGATTGTATAATTACTCAGTATATTAGGGTATTTACATATTGTGTTTGTAAGTCCTGAATATGTGTATAACACTGGATATTTAGTTTCTACATAAATAGAACTAAACGGATATAACTAATTGTTATTCATTATATCCTCTCTTACTTCCTCAAAGAACACGTGTTTCGAACACAGATTTTAATAAATGTTATCGTATCGTACATACTCGTAAATGTAATAAGTAAAGAATGCTCTTTTTTAAAACCGTTTAACGACTCGAAATGCCAATTTCCAATATTCTCCACAAATATCTAAAACATTATATTAAACTACTAAAATTACCATCAACAGGAGGGCCGGTACACGTTCCCGCAAGAGGAATGGTCGCACATTTCCATCGAGGCGAAGGACCTGATCGCGCAGCTGTTAGTGCGCGAGGCGTCGCACCGCCTCAGCGCCGAGCGCGTGCTGCAGCACCCGTGGCTGCGCCGCGCCGACGCGACGGCGCACTACCCGCCGTTGCACACACCACATAATATCAAACAGTTAGTTTTTTTAAGTTTTTTTTTTATTTATCATTAGGGAAACATACAGTGTTACAACCCAAACAACAAATAACAAAAACAATAGTAAACACATGAATAAAGTTTCCACAAACAAACAATTCATACAGTAAAAGAGTAGAGTAAGAGATTAAATTTTGTCATTCGAAAAGCAACGAATAAAAGAGGTTTGAAAAAAGTAATTCAATTTCGAATCGTGCACTTGTTTGGAGGAGCCTTTTGAGACTAATTGCTTCAGATCATTTAAAGACAATAGCGCATGACTGATATATTTATGGGATATGCTTGTTACATTGTATGAGTTAATTTACTAATGATAAAAGTGTGAAGGCTTGTGAATTAATGTATGTTTGTTACTCTTTCACGCCAGAACTGCTGAACGGATCTGAATGAAATTTATCACAGTTTATAGTCTAGAATAGCATATAGGTTACTTTTTATCCCGAAAAAATGTACGGTTCCCGTGGGATAGATTAGTTTTTGTCAAGAGACAAACCCGAAGCAAAGCAAGGGTGAGTCGCTAGTTAATACTATTTTAATTTTATCACTGATTAATCACGAGGTCAAAGAGTTATTGTGAATAACAACTGTATAACGTCTATCACCACACGATAATAGAGTAACTTAACTTCATAAACATTTATTAGGTTAACAGTTAGGTCATGATAAATTACATTGTAAGAAGTAAATCGATTATACATCCTAACATATAAATCTTTCTCCACAGCAATATGTCAGCTCGCAATCTGTCCAATTTCGCTGAATCCGCCATGGCCGTGAACCGAGTGATTCAACAGCACTTCTCGATGAATTATTCGTACATGGAGCGTCCCACTGCTGCTCTACGTAGCAGCAAGTCGTGTCACCCAAGCCCTGATGTGGTGCTGGAAGATGAGCTGGAACGTGCAGGGGTGGCAATCCAGGCCATGGCCGTCAGTGACTACTGCGCACCCTTTGGTCTTTCCCCACCCACGGAGTCACAACTGCTCCGCAGACGTCTGCAGTCCACAGACAAACCGCTGCCAGTACATTAACCTTAGACCCAAAGTGATCCAATCAGCGCTTAGCATTTGTAACATTTCTACACGAGGCGCGCTAGTAGATCACCATGCAGGTTGATAGTACGCCGGTGCCCTAGACACCCGCCGATTTGCCAGTCAACATTGTGCGGCAGTGCTTCCTTCGGCCTCTGTGACGTCATCTGTCTCACGTACCAAAATTATCTCTCACGTATTACAGTGTAGACAGTGTATGTATGCGCGGTTTTGACGGACTTTAAGTACGCGTAACTCCAGTTGTGTATAGTTAGTGATAAGGCAGACGCGGCTGGCCCGGTCACATTCCGAGCGACTACTGTGGACCTACCTCGACGTGATAGCCTTCCAGGGTGCACTCCGAACCCGCTCCTACTACTACCCTTCACTACCCTCATTCATGCCCTTAACAGATCCAAATATTAATTGTTACCCGACGGTAGTGGTGCGAGCGGCCCTTAGTGCAGTCCGCCTTATTGTTACGGTTGCAGCCAACAGCGAAACGGCTAACATCGGCGAGACTTGCCAAGATAAGTAATAAATCCAGTGAGATCCGATCGCAATATACTGTGAACGGTACATATAGAGCTGTAACAGTTTTATTTGAGCCTTTTAAAGATATATTTTTATGGATAAATAAAAACGACTGAATAGTTTTTATCGATATGTAGAGTATTTGTGAGTTTATGTTGTGGCGGTCGGTACCGACGCCGCCGAGACCGACGCCGGTCGATAAAATCGTATTATATTGAGATAGTTGTGCTGATCTACATACTTTATTACAAATACAGAATAAAAATATTATTTTTTTGTTGGATTTATGAAATCCAATTGTTTTAAATTGAGGTTATTTGTGTGATTGCCTTTGTTCGTGGCCTATCCTTTGCAATAACAAAATTTTGTTACTTTCGATAGAGTTTCGGATACTAGTCTGTTTATGTGATTGTTTTTGCATTTTTGCACCAACGATGAAAACCACATCTCATTAATTAAGAATGAATCAAGTTAAGATTTATATGATAGTTCAGGGACAGTATGTGACATTTTCGCTGAGAGGTTCAAGTGTAAGTTAGTATGGATGCGCATAATTACAAAATTAGAATAAAATTCGCTTTGTATTGTCTTATGTGTAAAGGGCACTAGTGAACTGATTGTATGAAATGTCATATATTTTTGACCTAAACTGCGTTGGTTAAGTGTTGCATGGAGTTCCATGGAGCTGCCATAAAATTGTGATCAGTTTGAATACTTTTATATTGCTGAAGAATGAAGTGTTATAATAATGTTAAGTGTAGACTTTGCTAGACTATAACCTGCGTAACGTTGATTGGAGAAAGGTACACGCAGCGCCACCTATTGGTCATTATTTTATTTTTTTCACAAATTTTATATTTTTTATTATTCATATTAATTTCAAAGTCTAATTTATTCATGAATTGTCCCGGTGGCTTTATCCAATCAATCCTAAAATTACCGCAGTAATTTGTTAAAATTTTGTTTTCGACTTAATCATTGATTTGAACTATCATTTGAAATACAAATGTTTGAATTTTGAATTTGTATTTTATTTAACAATCCTATAATTTTATTATGCTTATGTAACTCGCGTCATCTAAAAAGAGCGCTGGCTGTCAAGCTGCGCAGAAGCGATTTATCGGTCAAATTGGTAAGAGGTAGGGCGCGGGACTGCGGGGCGCGCGCCGCATGCTTACCGGCGCACTATTGGTTCAGTTCGAAATACCATCGCGCACACAAGTTTTTAATTACGAAATGGTTTTATATATAGAACAGAGAAAAAAATATTTTTGACGTATTTTTTATAAGGAGAGAGTCTGGTAATAATGCAGTTAATAATTAAAAAAAATGTATTAAACGTATTAATTTTTTGTAAGTAGATTAAATATTCTACACTGAATCAAACATACTTTAATAATGAATAGAATATATTTTTCTATGTATAACTCGCGTCATGTAAAATGAAGTTTTTATATATATACAGATTAAAACATTTGTCACTGAAACAAACATGTTTTTAATTCTATTTAATGACAAAGGATGATGATTCTATTTAAAATAAAATAAAAAATATTTTTATATAATATATTTTTCAATGTCCCTACCAATAACTATATATGAAGCCGCGAGCGAAATGCTATGAAAAATAATAGGCTTAGTTAGTACTTTTGTGCGCGAGTATACCCATGCGCAAACATACCCCTTCCACTTTCTTCCAGCGTTCTTTTTACAAGATGCGAGTTATACCAAAGAAAAGGTTGGGAATTACCTATATAAAAAATAAGGATGGCACCTTATCATTTCATCACTATTTAACACAAAATGGGTATAATAAAGTTGACATCTCTGTCTGTTTGTTTGTCTTTGGCATAGTTTTACCCCAACGGATAGGAGTCTAATGTCCAATTGGCAATTAGTTAAAATATGTGATTCCTGTTCATAAAGTGATGTAAGTAATTTCACTGGGTACATCAATATTGGGATATCTTTTTAAGTATACTATATAGTTTTTATTGGTACATTTTAAATCCAAGTCTTACAATAATATGGAAGCAGCGAGAAAAGAGAGCTAACGTTCCATTTTAACTAAACATACAATATTTAAGTATATTGTAAACAATATTTTCTATGCTTTTCTAATAATCTATACCAGCCATACTCAACCTTTTTTTTTTATAGGAGCCACAATCACGTATCAGTCGTGGTGTCGAGGGCCGCAAGCAAAAATTATTAAGGTCTTAATGAAAATGTAATTCCAAGTTAACGATGTATGTAGTTACTTTTTTTACAAAGATATAATGCAATACTGCCGCATGCGGGCCGCAGGTTGAGTATAGCTGATCTATACTTAATATTATAAAGAGGTAAAGTTTGTGAATTGTGAGTTTGTGACGTTGTAGGGGGTAATCTCTGGATTTACTGAACCGATTTAGATGAACTTTAGTAAGAAGATAGTTTGAGACCCTGGGAAGGACATAGGATATTTTTTATCCCGGAAATCATCCCTTAAGTGGGCGAAAATGGGGATGAAAGTTTGTATGGGGATCAACCTAGTGACGAACTTGAGCGAAGCGAGGGTGAGTCGCTAGTTACAGATAAAAGTACTTGTATCATGCATAATTATTAAGTATACGAATTTAGTAACAAAGTGGTAATTACTAACTCGTCGCTGAATTATGTACCTATTACTATTTACAAAACAATACATTATTCAATTAATATTAGTGGCGCCAACTAATGGCGTCATCTAATATTCCTAGTTCTATTAGAAAACAAATCAAATACCATTCATCCCTCAATTCTAATTAAATTGATATAGGTTTACAGTATAATTAACAATTGAATTTTAAAGAAAGTGATATTTTTCAACTAATTATTCGAATAAAATTTCTAAAATTAATAATAAAAATAAAGGTGGTGGGTATAATATTATATAATCTGTGGCGGTGGCAACATGTAGTGACACCTATTATCTCAACCGTAAACTACTTCATAACTGAAAGATGTAACAGCCTCGAGCTGTTGCTACTTGCTGCTACTTACTACTACCAACAAACTACATAGAGATGCTACGCATCAACTACCTCTGTCCGTAGATTACCCAACCTCGTTGAAAATTCAAGTTAAATCAAATATAGAAAAATAAAGTTTTTTTTAGCATAAAATGTTTTTTACCCGACTGGGGCCAAACCCAAAGGAGGTTTATGTGTTTGAACTGAAGGTTATGTATGTATTTCCGACTCTATGTTCTCTCGTAATTACTATACGGCTTAACCGATTTTGATGATATATAGGGTATAATATAGAATATAGATATCATTAAAAATATAAATGGTTGATTTTAGGCACCAATTTGTCTGTTTACATGATTTTTTTTGTCCGAATTAATCGAATTTGGTATTAAAATACAGATTTTTAAAGGCAATTACAAAAATATATACAACTTAAACATATAAAAATAATTTAGGATAAGAAATTGTTAAATAAAACTACAAATGTCTAAATGACCAAAACGAAAAAGATAATTTATAAAAATAAAATACCCAATTGCGTAAAAAGCGGACTAAAAAGATGAGAACAATCAACAAGGTGATGAAGGAACATAGTATTATGAAGTCGGAGACATGAATACACGTAGCAAGACTTCTAGAAAGGATAAAACGCGCATGTCAGATACCAGTGCACTATTTCTATTACTTTCAAATTCCGATGGGACGATAATTCGACACGACCGGTGAGAAATCAGGCGCAGGATCGACGGCTTTACGTACTCTCCGAGATATAAGCGGTAAACACAAGTCACTTCCCCACTCTGGACCAACTGGGACTAAATAGAAATACTAAAAACCTGCCTTAGTCCGAACCGGGACTTGACCACAGGACCTACGGATGTGCAACCCTACATGATAGCCACTACACCAACGAGGCAGTTTATAATACAATATGTATAATAATATGTATGTGTATACGAAATCAATTAACTATTGCAAAATTCATTCTGCATTTTATTAAACTTTCAGTAATTTTAACAGTTTTTAACCGTGGTATACAATTCATAAAAAGTAAAAGCGCTATCTGTGAAGACATACAAATACAAAACTCATTATCTGACTGCTGATTTTTGAATAATCAGTAAAGTTACGCGATTTACGAGCACATTGCAGCGTTTCCTGATAGGCATTTTCCATTGTTTTTTTAAACCATATAGGTATACTTGGGATCTACATAATTATAATCTTTTCCCAATTTTTTAATAACAAATCGTTTAATACCTATACCTATACAGTTTTTGGTGATACCAGTTGGCGCCACTGGCGAATAAGATCCTATCGCTGTCGTTAAAAACTATTCGTAAGTACAGCCTGGGCCATAAATTCAATATAATAATAATTGTTAGCGCGGTACCACTTTATCCGTATTTTGTTTTAAATAATAATTAATAAATAAATAAAATATTGACTTTTCCTTAGGGCTTACTTAGGTCTTCTTTTAGATCGATAATATTTGTTAAGATGTTATATGTTTACAATATGATTATTATGAATATTTGCTGAAATTCCACGATGAAAAGCTCGCAAGCGGTAAACATCCAATCATTCATGCATATAATAGGCAAAGAATTAGTCTAAGTAAATTTCAAAAGATGGCGTTCTATCTGTCTAACATAGATGTATAATAAATAATAATGTACTAGGAGCTACGAATAAATAATTGATAAAATTTGATGATAGCATTGTAATAATATATTCCTAATGATTACTTAATTGAATTAATTTATTTTTCATTTTTCAACAGTTAAATTTGATACTATTCAGTATTATAAATTCTGGAAAGAAAAAAGGACTTAATGATTTTTTGAATTTGGTCATTGAATATATTTATTTTTATTGGTAGCGATTAGACATCCATAGTGGATTCAAAACAAAAGAGCCACAAAAGTAGGCCTAATAAAGGCCTTTCTTTTGCATCATGGAGAATGGGATATGAAAGAATGTAAAACTGTAATAAAGGGGCTTAGACAATATGACGTTCTGTATAATAATGTAAAAATAGCGCCTTATCGCTCAAAGAGCTATTTTTTCTTTTTCTATATGCTATTTCTATTTTTAAAGATTAATTAAAATATATTGAACTTAATATACAGAATATAAAAATTAAATACATTAAAAATTAAATACATGAAAATCTAATAAATTAGGATAATATTCAAAGGTCTTATCTATACTAGCACTAAGGCATTTTTTCCCGACATGCTAGTAGAGATTAGCAATAAGTGTATTTCTGAATTATACTTAATTTGAATACAGAAATTTTAAAGTGGATAAAGAAAGATAAATATGATTATAGTTTGTCATAGTTATCATACGACTTTTACCTTTAAAATCTCTTAGAAATGTGACTCTTTAAGGTGTCAGTTTGCTGATATTTATTTATTTACGTGTCTTCTATCCATACCGGCAAACCAGGTAACATGCATCGCTATTTAAAGAAAAAATATGCTATTGAAAATTTTTTGAACCCTGAAGTATACTATAACGTTTATGTCATCTGTGCTATTAGAGTACTTAAGTAATCATACTGTTGCTCTTTCCTATAAGGTCTAAGTATTAAGGGTAGAAGTAAGGAGGACCGTCTTGTATGGGGGATTAGTTGAAAATTTGTCTACTTGTAAACAGAAAATTATTGTTCGAACACTCACCGAAATAGCGCTAGTGTAGGGAATGGAAATGATATGAATTTAGCAGTTATAAACAGAGTGAAGTGTGCTGGGTTGAAAAACTTAACAATTTTTTTACTTTTGTAGTTAAGAAATATGCAGTATTTAAAATCCCAACTTGTATGTATTTTAGTAAATAATAACCTGTGAAACTCCTGAAATAACGTACATAGTGATTTATTTTTTATGAAATTTTGTTAATACATTTTTGTTATTTTGATGCATTTATTGTTATTAATGCAAAAAGAAAAAATATAGAAGCAATGGGAAAACTTTGTTTGGTGAATAGTTGTCCAAGTGGGCGAAAATTAAAAAGTAAAGGAATTGATACGTCTCAACCTCTTAATATGTTTTTTTCCACCACCAATATGTATAATCTATTTTTATTAAATATGTTAAGGCACTGAAGTTAACTTATAATAGTTTTGTATTTTTTTTATAATATTTTAATATATATATATATATTTATTTTGGCTATTATTTAATACTATTTTCTATTTGCTATTGACAAATAATTGTGGTACTTAAAAATACTGTATAATTTTATTCCATATTCATGTTTGTCTGTATATATTATAATAATTAAAAAAAATGCGCTGTAACAAAGCGGAAATTGTTATGTAAATTTGTGGCGTTCCTTTTAAAATTCTTCCACTTGCTACTATAGCGCCACCTTAATTTGCTCCCTCTCAACGGACACTTGTTTTATACACCGAGATGGTCCTCCTTACTTCTACCCTCCATAGTTATAAGGCTAGTGTACAAAAGATCTATCATCTAAATAAATTTAAGCGTTGAAATTATGCAATCATTAAATTTGAGGGTAGATAATGCTAAGCTGAATTATTATATTAATAATTTATTACCTTAGAGTTCTAATTGTTTTGAGGATAATAAGTATATTCATCCATGTTCATTATAAAAAAAGTATTTTACATATTATTGAAATATTGATACAAAGTTAAATATATTTTTTAAATAATTATTTTCTTTTAAACTCACATAAACATATGCTACAATAACAAAACGCAGGTGACAATCAAAAGTCAAAAATCAATCTTTGTCACCAGTAGAGGGCGCTTGTAATCGCTCGGCCACGTAAGTCGGGGTCGTATTTTTCTTAATATATTTGTTATACTTAGTTATTTCACCATTTTGTAATAATATGTGAGAATGGTATAGCTATACAAAGTTCTGTGCAAAGTTTTTTGTGTTTTGACATCGTCCCGCCAGCGGTAAGTCGCACAGTGCGTTTGTCCTTCCGTCATTCTTAGTGAATTAGCATTAATTAAACATCCTTTTCGATACCAAGTTTATTATCACAATACAAACATTTCTAAAGCTTACTCTTATGTGTCAAAACACGGGTGTAATAAATAAAATAATACTTGAAAATTAAATTTACAGATTGACAAGCCATGTCTCACATACCGAATCAATATAATAATGTTCCTGGCCAGCTAAATTCGATTCCTGGGATCTCAAATCAATATAATCAAATTCCAACAAGCCAATTGCCTGGAACTGTGAAGCAAGGAGGCATGATCAATCCAACCTCAACAACTGGATATACCAGTCAAGCAAATCACTATCATCAAAGTGCAAATAGTTCACCAGCCTTTAATAACCCTGGGATGATGGCACCTCCACCCACAAGCCTACAATCATCCCCAATGAGACCATTAAAATCAGTTCCAAATCAAAACCCAATGCAAAACATCCAGAACATTCCATTTAGTTCCGCTATTCCCCATTCCATACCAAATGTATCTTCATCACAATATCCTCCTAATTTTCAACCCCATCAAATAAATAACAATACACCACCTCTTATTCCTTCTAGTCAATATAATCAGCCAATTATAAATGGGCCGTCTGGACCATCAGTACCAGTAAATCAATACCCTCCTTCAAGTACGTTTAGTCCTCCACCCTTAACAAATCTTCCACCTACAAGTGCCAGCTATGGACCAAGGCCACTTAATCCAGTGTTTAGTGGTATAAGACCTCCAACGTCAATGCCCCCTGGTTTAGTGACAAGTCAACCTAACATACCATTTAATGGACCGCCAACTTCTGCAGCCAGGAACAGTCCTTTAGCAACTGGACCACCAATTAACAATTTACCACCATCCAGCTTACCTAATTTATCTGGACCTATACCACCAAAAAGCAATATAGTTAATGGGCCTTCTATGTCAGGTCCACCATCTTCAATGGGCTCACAAATGCCACCAAGAGGATTACCAAGTGGCCCATTACAAAGTGACCCAACTAGTTTTCTAACAAGGCCACCCATGCCACCTAATATAAACCAACCTTTAAATGGTCCAATTAACCAAATGGATCAAAATTACACAACTGGACCATCTAGTTTGAGTCCACCAGGTTTGCTCAGTGGGCCAATGAGTCAGCCTGCCCCCACAAGTGGGGTTAGTGGACCCTCAAATACGAGTATGCAAAATAGATATCCTCAAATGCCATACACTAATCTGAGTCCACAACAGCAAATGCAAGTGCAGCAGAATATTGCCAAACAATTTCCTACGCACAATTTATATGGAGTAACACAACAAATGGGGAACTTGAGTGTAACCAAACAAGGATTTGACCAACTGTGGGGTCACCAAATGGTAGACCTGTTACAGTGTAAACATATTTTGCCTGAGTATCCTGAGGAACCAATGGAAATAAAACTTGGAAATCAGTTTGCTGATGCTCCTAACTGCAGTCCTGAGTAAGTATATTATTTTTTAATTTTATAATTTTATAATAAGACTAGCAACTCGCCCTCACTCTCCTCTGGTTTGCACCTAGTTATCTTTTAACATTTAGTGTAGATTTCTCAGAGATAAGATATTTTCCCACAGTAGAAATATCCTATATGGTGATCCAGATAATCAGCTATCATCATACCAAATTACATCAAAATCTGTCCAGTGGCAGTCCAATTTTCTCGTGATGCATTCCCAGACGCAGACAGACAAACAACAATTTCAAAAAACTATAGATTCAACCTCTATTGTTAACAATGACTATTTCAATAATAAGATTTTCCACAAAATATTTATTGTATGTATGTATTCAGCCCTTTTTATCGTCCCACTGCTGGGCACGGGCCTCCCTTCAGTACGAGGGGAATCAGGCCATAGTCCACCACGCTGGCCAAGTGCGGGTTGGCGGACTTCACATGTCTTTAGAAAACTTGCTAAGTTCTCTCAGACATGCAGGTTTCCTCACGATGTTTTCCTTCACCGTAAGGCAAGTGGTAATCATGTTAGAAATGATTCGCACATGAAAATATCAGAGGTGCGAGACCCGGGATTTGAACCCGCTTCACTCGGTTTCTCAAGCGAGCGCGTTACCACTGGGCTACCACTATTATTTATTACTTATACAAATTCGACACACTTTAGAATTTTCGTCATGTGCATCCCTAGTCATTTAAATAGATAAAATAGTTACTTTGAGTGTATCTTAGGAGATACACACATGCTATAGCAGACTTTTCTGCAGGCCTCTATAAGATCTAAAATTTCCATTAGTACATTATTTTTTATGTATCTCTTAAGGTTTAGCCAGCGTTAGCCATGTAAGGTACGAAATCAGTTTTTTTTATTAAACACTGTCATAGTTCAGCCATTTTGAACAAAATATTTATCAAATCCTAAGCCTGCCTCATTTCATTCGATTAATGATTAGAATGAGTAAACAGAAGGGTTTTTAAAAGATATTCCGTGTAGGGATATAGCTTTATTATTATTTTATTGTATGTATAATTTATATATTATATACTAGAGACTCACATTCACTTTGCTCGGGTTCATCCCTAGCTTGCTTTGCAATATAAACTTTAATATTTTGATGAAAAATGTTAAACAAAATATTTGATAAAAAGTATCCTATGTCATTCTCAAACTATTTTCTTACCAAATTTCATCTAAATCGGTTCAGTAGATACAGAGGCTACTCCCTACAACGTCACAAACTCACAAACTTTACCTCTTTATTATATTAGTATAGATTATATCTATTTTAGCATATGGCTATAATGACCGCTTATTTTATGTTCAATAAAATATATAAGAACATTAGGAATAAGAGACAAGATAATAACTTGTAGATAAGTAATGTTGCACGCTATTCATACAAAACATCAATCTTGCTTAATTTAATATGTAATAAGAACTATTAAATATAATTAGGTATTGTGATTGATGAATTAAATTATAATAACATGATATTTTGTCATTAGTACTTTTTAACAAGTTTTATCTTGTTAAACTTCAATCAATAATAGCTTAAATTACTTTTTAATTTATAAAAATATCTATGTAATATATGTATAATGCACACATCTATAATGATGCAGAATAGATTTATTCGATGAGAAGTGCATTTGTGTAGTTGTTGTTGTAGTTGCTTAAAAAAAGTTAATAGTTTGTTATTTTTTGATAATTATTTTATTAGTTTCATATTTACAGCTATATTGTAGCTTGCACTGCAGCCATCACTGATAGTGATAAGATGTTCAGAATATATTCAATAATTTTAGAATTTACCTCCGATAAAATTTATCAAATTTTACCCTTTTATAATAATAGTGTATATATTTATATTAAAAAGAAAAGCATATTCTATGATTTTGTAATAAGATAACACACACACACTTGTGGACACTTGAAGCTTTTTTTATTTTATCTACATATTTATATTATAAATAAAAATTATACCTATGTTAAGTGTAACATTGACGGTACAAGTCTATATTCTTATCTTTGCTATCAGTAAATCTTATTCTGATTATATTATCAAATATCTTACAGCTTGTAGGGACACAATTTGTGTTAACGTTAACAGTTTATATTAAAAATCAAAATATATCTGACATATTGTTTTTAACATGAAGACTGATTTATTGTTTTATCTATATTAATTAACAATTAATTCAAAAAGTAATCTTAATGCATCGATTCATGTTTTTTGGCCCAGGGTGGAAGTCATCAATTTGCATTTTTGCCTTGGCCAATTGTGGACCAATCTTTTTAAGTGATTTTGAAGATGGTTTAACCTACACACATTACATACACATTGTTGATGTTAAACGGTAGTATTTATTATTTATTACCAAAACTCGCGACTTCGCTCGCGCTAAAACTAGAAAAAAATCTCTAAAAATGTAGTGTCATACAAACTTTCATCCCCTATTTTACCCCCATATATGATGAATTTCGAAAAATGTTAAAACAGTCATATTTGTTTAATTTTATTGAAGAGCATTAATGCCAAGTTTCAAGTAATTCTGATCATAAATATTCTTTTTGATTGTGTTATAACGTGTTTTCCCGTGGGAATTAGATAATCTCCCGCGGTAAAAAGTAGCCTATGTCACTCTCCAGCCCTCCAACTATCTTCACACAAAAATCACGCCAATTCGTCACTCCGTCGTCGTAAAAGTAGGACTAACAAACAAACAAACACACTTTCAAATTTATAATATTAGTATATGGAATAGTATGGAATATGGATATGGATTTTGACAAATACATTAGAAATGGAATAGAGAAAAAAAACTCTTGTAAGAATTCTGCTTTGTTAATTTTAATTACCAATTATTAATGCAAAAAATTATATTTAATCATATGAATATAAAAATTACTGCAAACAATAACGTATTTACAAATTTCTATTTGTAAGGCAGAAGGCAATAATATCCTTTTAGTAAGGAAAAGTTTTATTTATACTAGGAAAATATTTATAAATTATAAAGGCCATTCGAGGGACAATGACCTTACCTTCAAGGAATCTAAAATCGATAACACATGCATCAATTTCGTCTTTAAAACTACAATAGGGACATTAAATAACATTGTATGGACGTTATTTATTCATGCGTGATGCGGCCTCAGTCCTCACCAACTGGGAATAATCTGTACTAATCTATACATATAATAAAATTGAAATAAACATTATTATCGACACAGAGGCCGAATTTATGGCTTTTAGAATTTTTGTCCGTCTGTCTGTCTGTCTGTTATCGCATCACAGTAAAATCACTGGAGGGATTTTGATGAAATTTGGTATAGTCACAGCTGGTTATCCTGGTCAACATATAGGATACTTTTTACCGCGCGAAAATATCTCATTTCTGGAACTGGAGCGAGGGGAATATACCTAGTAATCTTCTAATTTTTATGCCGTTTTAGTCTGCAATCACTATCTTCTGCACGCTCCGTCTGTTTTATTCTATTAGTAAAAGTTTTATCTCAAAATGTCATTATTTTATTACATAAAATGCTTAACTATAAAAAAAAAATAGTATAGATTAAATATGGATAAACTTAATAATTTTAATACTTTCTTAGGTGTCTTCCCTTCTTCTTCTTAGAATCTCTCCCGTGAACATGATTGCTGTAAATCATTCGAAACGTCGGGAACTCAGACCAAATAAATTATATTTGGTCTGAGATCGGGAACCAAAAATCAAAATGAATCCGCGAAAAAAGCCGAAAAGATAGTTTTATTTAATAATTTTAATAATCCCGAATAATATAAGTCATTTAATTTTGCATAAAGGCTTAAACCACTTTCACTTCCTTTAGCAGGTAGGTAATGTATTGTTATCCACGTTGGGACCAAGTGAAAGTGTGATTTACTTTCATTTTATTTTTTATTATATACATACTTTGAATTAAATAATATGACGTATTTTGACCTCAATTCACAATTGTCGAATGAGTAACACGAGGAAACGTGTTACTTTTAATTACAGCACGTTACTGAGATTATATATTATTGAGGTTGTGAGGTCATTTTATTCTACTAATTAATCCGTAAATAGTGCTGGTGAATAAATAAAAAAAATTACAATCTCTAAACGTTTCTAATAAATAACTTATTCTAACAATAAAAAGGATATTTTTTGTACTTATCTATCTATACACACATATAATGAAATAGTAACAAAGAGAAATCTATAAATAACATATTCAAGACAATGACTGTTACATTTTGTGTAGGTACACAATATAGACCCCAAAACAATAGTAAATTTTTTTGTCTGTTTATCTGTATGTCTGTTTGCTTTCTATGCAAAAAGTACGAACGGATTTTAACAAGTTTTGTATAGTGATAATTTGTTACTCGAGTCAACAATTAGGTTACTTTTTATTACAGGAAATATCTATCATTCCCACGGGAAAACACAATAGCTAGTCGGCCAAATTCTCCTTTGTACAGAAAACAGAAAAAAGTACCTATTATTATGCATTAACTTTTAGTTTCTGGGTAATCATTAAAATATTTAACAATTTAGAGCAATAAAACTTCCCATTTTAATTATAAAATGCAAAATTTAATTCGAGCGCAAGTCGCTATCTATATCTATATCTACATGATCTATAACAGAGTCGCTGTTTGCATGTTAGTTGCTCCGTTTACTTTTCTTCTAAACCACCGCGAATTTTGATACAATTTTCACTAATAGAATGAGCTATAAACGGGAAAGATTTGTGTATATCATTTGTAAATATTTTGTACAAGATGGTTGAACTATGACGGTGTTTTGCCTAAAACAACTGTTTTCGTATGCCTACAATGCCTAAATACTATATTCTGATGCAGCGCTGGATTTACACTAGGGGCCCTCGGGGCACTAGCCCAGGGCGAAAAATTTTTAGGGGCGGTCAAATTCGGAGGGCGGGAAAAAATTCTTCGCGTTATCGAAAATGCTTTTTTTTTATTTAAAAAAAAAAAAAGATTAACTAGTAGGTACATTTTTCGAAAAATTGTTATCATTAATAATTATTTTTTTGCATTTTTCAAAAAATTAATAATGAAAAAAATTTAAACTTTCAAATTTTTGTTAAAAATTTTGATAATAGGGCGGCATTTTTTATAGTGCCCAGGGGCGGCGCTAAGGGTAAATCCGGCATTGTTCTCATGGCTAATGCTGGCTAAATCCTCAGAGATAGATCATCACAGTGTGCTAAAAATTGTAGGACTTAAAAGGCCTACATACACACATGTCTACATACATAATATGTCTGTCTCCTAAGGTCTCCAATAATTTAATTTTTGTTTATTTATTTTAATACAAAAGTGTTATATTATTCTGCATTCGGTGATGATAACCTTATCTTTTACTTAAAGTTAGTTGCGCGTATATCCAGTTGTGTCGATCGCGGACATTGAACCACTGTATCATATTGACAGAATATGAACCCAAAATAAACAATGGTCTTTGTCACATTATCGATTTATATAAAATTATTGCAATTATATATTAAAAAAACGTTTGGTATAGTCTTCGCATAAGTCATATTTTGGGTAATAAAGAAAATATTTATACCTATTAGGTATTTTCCTAAATGCATGTGTAAGGTAGGTATAAAAAAAATATTTATTTGGCACTGGACCTATAAAAACAGTAACAAAAACGTAAATCCTATTATGGATTAATTATATACTAGTGACTCCCCTTCCCTTCGCTTAGGGTTAGTTCGTCATCGTCGATAAAAACAAATCTATCCCATGGGAACTGTACATTTTTCCGGGATAAAATAACTTATGTACTATTCCAGGCTATAATCTATCTCTGTGCCAAATTTCATTCAGATCCGTTTAGCCACTCTGGCGTGAAAGAGTAACAAACATCTATCCATCCATCCATTCTCACTTATATTTGTGTGGATTTGTATTAGTATTTTTATGTATATTTCGTTTTTTTTTGTTTATGTCACACATATGTCCTAAAGTTTACTTATTTTAATAAATGCACAGCAAATATATGACAAAAATTAACATACTTAAAATTATACTATTTATAAGATTAAATTCATAAATAAAACTTAACACAAGTCTTTACAAGTAGGTAGTACATACATTTTTACACACAATTGTGAGAATAATGTTAGATATTATTATAATTTTCCTTAAATAAACTTATTATATAAACACAAATTATTTATTTAAATATATGGTTCACTTTTTCACTAGTTCTCTTCAGGAAACGCTGTTCTCTTTCCACTTTATTATATTTTACATAGGTATCCTTTCGAATCCATTGTAGAATCTTAACTTTCAATAAGCACATGTATATTTATATAGTGTATAAAATAAATAACCTTGTATTTTGAAATAGTATATCTTTTAAGACTATTGCAATTAAATAGTACCTAACGTAATGTGATATGATGTTATTTTTATTTTGTTTGTTTGTTTAGAAATGTCTATCTATATTTGAAATGTAGTTTAGTGTATCAGTTGTGTACAGAGTGTTTTGTATCACTGTACCAAAATAGTATTTGTCTATATGATAAATAGGTCATGGTTATATAGCTTGATGACTTGTACGTAGCTACTAGATATGTTATATTAGTCTTTGTTGTAGATGTATTTTTTATTCAAGAAGTCATTATAAAAGTGTATTTAGGCCTTCCAATATGAGGAGATTCAGGCTATAGTCCACCACGCTGGCCAAGTGCGGGTTGGCGGACTACACATGTCTTTCGAAAACTTGCTAGGTTCTTTCAGAAACGCAGGTTTCCTCACAATGTTTTCCTTTACCGTAAGAACAGTGGTAATCATGTTGGAAATGATTCGCACACGAAAATATCAGAGGTGCGAGTGCCTGCATTTGAACCCGATTCACTTGGTTTCCCAAGCAATCGCGTTAAAACTGGGCTACCACTGCCTTATTTTAAAAAATATGTAAAATAAATATTTTAGTAATTCTGCGTAAGTTTACGAATGACATTTGAAATATGTATAAAACTATCATGTTTTTAAATGGTGGAAAAATTCTAAAACGGAATGGAATATTGAATATTTCGATTCTTGAAGACCAACATTTTCCTAATTTAATTACGTAGTTATGTAGTATATATTAAAAACTTAAACATAAAACTACTAATTTTATTATTTACACACGGAAAAACAATGACCGTGACAATCGTTGGTTACTGTAAGGCGAAAAACAAGAAATTAATCTAAGTAAAAAAAAAAAGTTTTTTTTTAATAATTTGTTTTGATTGCTTTTCCTTCAATAAAAAATTCCCAAGGACACACTTTTAAATAAATTATCATATATTATAAAAATATTATACATCGCAATATTATATTTCTTTGCTCTATCACACACTATTACTGACTTTTTTCCAGAATCTTCAGATGCACTGTCAACCGTATTCCCGAAACGAACTCGCTCTTACAGAAGTCTAGACTGCCTCTAGGCATCCTAATCCATCCCTTCAAAGACCTAAATGTAAGTAATAATGCAATTATTATATATTGAATTGTTCGATGAATTTTGCGCTTCATTAATCGATTATGTGAGCTTGCGCATTCTTAAAAGTATGTAATTTGACATTAGAAAATCTGATTGATTTATAAGGCAACCAATCATCTTTAATTAATTTATTTTTTACCACTTAGTTGAACCAACAGACGTTGTCCTATCCAATTTTCGTAAAAATGAATTGTGATCCATAAAAAAAATTAAATAGCACTATTTTTTCCCGAATTTTCTAATTCTCCTGGCGATTTTTCCAATTTTTTCCTTAAAACCCTTCGGGCTAGTACTTATAAAAAAATATTCGCTTGCTAACGAATAGCATTTTATTTTTATTTATATAGGTGTAACAATTGAAACTTTTGTGTATTCATTTTATTAAATAACAGTGAACCGTATCACCTTTGATCGGGTGGAACTGAAATATCGTGGTAAAACGTTTTTTATATTAACGTCTTACTTCACGTAAATATTTAAATTATTACATCAGCTAGTTTAAAGCGAATGTACGTCTCGAATAAAAATCATTAATACTTGTAATAATTTTTGTTTCGAATAGTAAGTTAATAGAGAAACTCTACATATGTAAATTAAATAAAACGATTTTTCGCTGTATAATCTTATTTTGTTCTTGTTAAATAAGTCAAAATGATAAAAAATATTTTTTTAAATGTCAAATGTCAAAAAAGTAAATCAAAATGTAGATACTACATTTAAAAAATAATTGTTGTATTTTATGAAAAATGATGGAATATTTTTAGCAAATATAGAATTAATAACATGATACGTTTTTTCGATAGAATAATATCTTTGGATTCATGCGACCGTTTCAAATGACATTTGACGACTCGAATGCAATTTTGTAATTTAGTCTGTCTGATTTTTTATTGTAGAGGTAATGTATAGTACAAAAAAGGATTACAATTGAATCCTTTTGGCCTTTTTCGAGCGATACGCTAAGACAGAAAATTGAAAATTTTGCTTATAAACCACACTTTAGTTTTAGAGATTAGCGTGTGTGTTCGAACAAACAAAAGATATATCCGTTTAGGTACAAAATATCGATTAAATATAGATGACTAATATTAACTGTAAAGGTCTAAAATGAATATATTTTCAATATTTATGTTTTTGTTTCGATTTTTTTCAGCATTTACCTGTAATCCAATGCACAACGATCGTGAGGTGTCGTGCGTGTCGTACCTACATCAACCCGTTTGTTTACTTCGTCGACTCGAAGCGCTGGAAATGCAACCTGTGTTACAGAGTGAATGAATGTGAGTGTTATATAAATACCTATTTTAAAATTAATAAGTTTACAACTAATATTAATCGGTTTTAGTCGGGTTTGATTATCGAGAAGCGCAAATATTTACACGTGTAGATGTTTTTACCTGAAGGTCATACAAAAGTTATTAATATTATGTATACGAGTGTTTAACTAGCCGCTTGCCTTCAGCTAGTTTAGCGTAAAGAAATAACTAATATATACACACAAACACACATATTCACATACAAACTTGGACATTTATAATAATAGCATTAATACTTGCGACTTATTTCCTAGTTGCGGGAATGAGATAATCTTTCGCGGTAAAAAGCCTATGCCTAGCCTATATCACTCTCCAGCCCTCCAACTATTTACACACAAAAAATCACGTCAATCCGTAACTATGTTTCGACGTGAAAGAAGGATAAACAATCGAACAAACAAACAAACACACACACTTTCACATTTATAATATTAGTATGCATATGGATATACAGCTAGCGCCATCTTTAGACTTTTGTTACTAGCAGTAGCCTATACGTGTACTAAATTCCATCCAAATCGATCCAGCCGCTTTTAAGTTAGAGTAACAAACTTTCACAAGTTTGTAAGTACACAAACGAAAATATACTCATGTAATGTTACTTTACTTCAGTGCCAGAAGAGTTCCAATACGATCCGCTAAGCAAATCCTACGGAGACCCGTCCCGTCGTCCAGAGATAAAGTCTGCTACAATAGAGTTCATAGCGCCCAGTGAATACATGCTGCGTCCCCCGCAGCCGGCCGTCTACCTGTTCCTTCTAGACGTTTCTCAGATTGCCAGAGAATCTGGATATTTGCAGGTAAATTTCATACTTTTTTAACAATAGTAGTGAGTATTGTGAGCTTATTCAGTCTATACATATTAATATTTTATTATTTAATAGTTTTTTGCAATAGAAAGTTTACAATAAATTATTCATGACATTATTATTGGTAAGTAAAAAAATAATAATTCTATTCTAGGCAAGGTCTTTTAAGTTTTAACAACAAACTTCTTTGTATTGATAAATTGACAGATTATTCTTATTCATAAAATATGCTGTAAAATCCAAAAATAATATTCCAAATCTGACTGCTAGTTCTAGATATTAGTGCGTTCAAACAAACAAAAAGACAAAGAAATTATATAACTTTTATAATGAGTTTTATATACCGTACTTGAGAAATGATTGATTCCTCATACAAACTTTCATCCCTTTTCACCCCCTTAAGGGATGATTTCAAGGATAAAAACTATCTTATGTCCTTCCCAGGCTCTCAAACTATTATTCAATATGACCTTTATATAATACATTTATTATTTCTATATAGGTGGTATGTGATACATTAAAAGAAAATCTAGACAAGTTGCCCGGCGACGCGCGCACGCAGATCGGCTTCATATGCTACGATGCTCACATACACTATTACTTGATGAGCGACGGACTGACCCGGCCAAAAGAGATGACTGTGTTGGATATTGATGGTAATTGATTTAGTATATATTAGCGCCTAGCATCTCACCTCATCAGCGGTTGATTCTCCATACAAACTTTTATTCCCATTTTCACTCCCTTAAGGGATGATTTCCGGGATAAAAACTATCTCGTGTTCTTCCCAGGATCTCATTATATACGTCGTTTCTGTTTTAATTAAAGTTTATCACATGGCTTCATTTCGCTATAGGATGTTTTTTTGTTAAATTTGGTTAATGTTTAACTATGACCAATGTACCCGCAGATGTGTTCCTGCCGTCGCCTGAGTCGCTGCTGGTGAACCTGGGCGAGCACCGCGAGCTGGTGCTGGAGCTGCTGAGCCTGCTGCCCGCGCGCCACGCGCCGCACGCCGCGCCCGCCGCGCACGCCTGCGCGCTCGGCGCCGCGCTGCAGGCCGCATACAAGCTGATGGTGAGCCTGTAGTCATTGGATTACTATAATTATTATTATTAATCTTTATTATGATTGGAAAAGTTTGTGTGTATGCGTTTGTACGTGCGCTTGTGCGTGTGTGTTCGTTTGATTGTAGTATGTGTGTTTAATTGTACTCTGATATAGTTTTAAAAATAAAATAAAATGAGGCCTCAAACAAAAGTACTTGTCATCAGTATAGTCGTTGTGTTTGAAAGAATATGCTCAAGAAACTCTTTTTTATTAATATTTATGTTTTTTTAACAACAAATACCATGTTTACATTTTGTTAAAATTATCTAATTTAATATGTGGTATTTCAGTCACCTACTGGTGGGCGAATAACCGTCTTCCAGACGTGTTTGCCCAATGTTGGACCTGGAGCACTGCAGTCGAGGTAAATATTATTCATGTATTAAAAATTGTTTATTTATAATTGCTTGCGCGTTCGGTTTTGTTCCTAGGTACATTTTAACGGTTAGTGTGGAATAGATAGAGGTATATATTAGTATATAGGTATACATACATATATACATATGTATGATGAGTTTTATATCCCTTACTTGAGAAATGATTGATACTTTAATCCCCCTTTTCACCTTCAAAAAAAGGATGATTTTCGGGATAAAAACTATCGTATGTCCTTCTCAGGGTATCAAACTATATCCATACCAAATTTTATTTAAATCGGATCAGCATATTTTTAGTTTATCCATTACAAACAAAAAAAAATCTCTTTATAATATTAGTATAGATATTGTTCGTGGTCGTGACTTGGCCAGCGTGCTGGACTATGCTTTGATCCCTCTTGTATTGAAGGGAGTCCTGTGCCCAGCTGTGGGACGTAAAAAAAGGGCTGAATACAATTGCTTAAAATCCGTGCATGTGTATAATAAATAGTAGTAGGTATTTTAGTTTTAAAACATGAATAGCTCTTATATTAAGATTTTTTACATAACTACTTAATTTTTTCATTTTGAATTTCACTAAAATTTGTATTGTTTTAATAGCGTAAAAAATAACAAATTCACACTGATTTGCTGACAAACAGACAGACAGAAAGACGGATAAAGATAATAAAAAGTTTAAAGGTGAAATGAGATAAGATACAATCCTAATATTCTTATGTCAATGCGAAAGTGTGTTTATTTGTTTGTGTATCTGTCCTCCTTTAACTCAGCAACAAAGCAAAATAATGACATAGGGTACTTTCTATATTACTAGCACATCTAGTTCCCGTTCCGTATCTGTATATTGGAATAAATAATTATTGTTTTATTTACTTTTCAGAGAAGATCCAAACGCACGTTCTTCAAAGGACGTTGCTCACTTGAACCCGGCTACGGACTTCTACAAGCGTCTAGCGTTGGACTGTAGCGGCGCTCAGATCGCTGTGGACCTGTTCCTGCTGAGCCAACAGTATTGTGATCTGGCTACCCTTAGTGAGTATATAATTCATCATTAGTTTTACTAAGAGAACCCGTGGCTGTGCTAGCTTTAGAACTACTAAAAAAAGCTAAAAAGGTAGGTTTCAAACAAAATTTCATCCCCTATTTTACCCCCATATGGGATGAGTTTCGAAAACTGCTAAAACACGTATTTATTTAAATGAAGAGTATTAATACCAAGTTTCAAGTAATTCGGATCATTTATTTTTTTGGACTAGATTGTAACGTGTTTTCTCGTGGAAATGAGATGATCTTTCGCGGTAAAAAGTAGCCTATGTCACTCTCCAGCTCTCCAACTGGTCTCCATACAAAAAATCACGCCAATCCGTCACTCTGTTTCGACGTGAAAGAAGGACAGACAAACAAACAAACACAATTTCACATTTATAATATTAGTATTTAATAATGTTACCAGGCGGCATGAGCAAGTTCAGCGCGGGCACGGTGTACCACCTGCCGCTGTTCCGCGCGGCGCGCGCGTGGCAGGCGGCGCGCCTGGCGCACGTGCTGGCGCGCTACCTCACGCGCAAGATCGGCTTCGAGGCGGTCATGCGCGTGCGCTGCACCAGGTACTACACGCTCTTCGATGTTTGATTATTATTTAAAATAAAATGTTGTTCCAGAAGGTTATTGGTTCGGGTGTATAATATTTTATCTGTGCGTTGCGAATACAATGTTTTCGCCTGTATTATAAAAAAAAAATGATCTAAAAGGTTCTCGTTTCGGGTGTATGTTTTTTGTGTGTTTCGAATGCAATGTTTTTGCCAATAATAACCCCCAATCCAAGCAAATAATAAGGATTAAATGATATTCTTATAATTTCATCTTGAATTTGTGTAACATCTGTCTGTCCGTTAGTCACAATCATTTTACTCAATGACTCATGCAGAACCTTGGGCTTGCTCTATGTTTTTATTTCTAAACCAAACTATTTAATATTTGTCTTCACCATTGTGCTGCTATCGCAAATTTGAATTTACTGCGGCTTTATTTGTTGTGCCATGGCACAAAGTGAATACACTCACCTGCACTGCACCTGAACTCTCACTACGAGTATTGAGATACTGTCCCATTAATGGAATATACATAGATTGTAGTTGTGCAGTTCGATAGTTTTAGTGAAATTGCTGGTCATGGCCGAATTGACCACGAGTAAATTTTTTATAAATCTACAATGACACAGTTTTATTATGAGGATTAATGAATGAATTGAAGTTATTGAAATAGTTTTAGAAAGTTATACGTTTTATTGTGTTTGTTACAATAAATACTAACTGTACAATCCAATATTGTCCATGAGAGAAGGGCTCCCTTTGGGATCAGAATAAAACTACAATGATCAGATTGTGGTTAAAAATTTAATTCCTCCAACATAACTTATATAAAACATCTTGACCGAACGATAGCTCGTTTTACAATTCATTCCTCTAATGCCATCTATTACAAATATATGTAAAACTAGTTTAGGTTGCTTCCCCATACAAACTTCCATCCCCATTTTCACCCCCTTATGGGTTGATTTCCGGGATAAAAAATATCCTATGCCCTTCCCAGGGTCTCAAACTATTTTCAGACCAAATTTCATCTAAATCTGTTCAATATATCCAGACATTACCCCCTACAACGTCACGAACTTACAAACTTTAGATTATAATATTTAAATTTTGAACATACAATTTACACATAGAAAATCATTATATAGAAACTTATACACTATGCGGGGTTTAGTGGTTCACTCTAGTATAAAATACGGCAATTACAATAGACAAGAAATGGTCCCAGTGAATCGATACAGCCTCTAAAATGAATTAAAAAAAATACAGTAAATAAAGGATAATTGTTCATAAATAATAGCTATGAACATTCTACAGGGGTATAACAATCCACACGTTCCACGGCAATTTCTTCGTGCGCTCTACGGACCTGCTGTCGCTGCCCAACGTGTCGCCCGACGCCGGCTTCGGCATGCAGCTCGCCATCGAGGAGTCGCTCTCTGACTTGCAGCAGGTCTGCTTCCAGGCGGCGCTGCTGTACACCAGCAGTAAAGGTACCAGTATATGTATTCTTACAACTGTGGTCTAGTGGCTAGCATGTACGGCTAAGAGTTTAGAGGTCTTGGGTTCGAGTACCGGATCTGGCCAAGTTTAACTTGTGAGTTTTTTTTGTTAAGATGTTCTCAGTTATAGCCCGGGATTGGGAAGTTTTCGTTCGCATTTGGTTACTGTCAGTAAGATTGGATATCATGGCTGATAATAAATAGATTGTCTTAAACCTGTCTTAAATAAGCTATAGGGTGAAATGAAACATTGTTCCAGGTGAAAGAAGGATACGCGTGCACACCCTCGCCCTGCCGATAGCGAGCACGCTGCCCGACGTGCTGCACTCGGCCGACCAGCAGTGTATCATTGGATTGTTAAGTAAAATGGGTGAGTTTGCACTTTTTTTTATATACTAGTGTCCCATCCATTGATGTTTTTTTCGAAAATAATATTAAATATGATAATCATGACATTTTTTTTATTGTGTTTTATTGTAGTTATTTTCTCGTGATGATGTGAAAGTCTAAGTCCTTCTCGAATACTCCTATTGATATAATTACATCAAACACGTTTTATGTGGAAATGAGACATTTTCCCATGGTAAGAGTAGCTAATGTGGTTAGCCGCACAAATATTTTAATAAAAAATTAAAAATGAGAGAGAGATAAAGAAACTTTAAAATTTTAATTTTCGATAAAAATATTTGAAGGCGATGTTCATGATACTGTTACGAGTATATGTACATATAACCATGATATGCGCTTTTTAGATAACACTGCTTTTATAATGTTTTATACTTGATTCTTTATATCTGGTCTTTGAAATTGTATATCTTTTTTTGTAGTCGGTTAAAATATCATCTTACATAATATTATAAACCACTTCCAGCGGTGGACCGTGCAGCATCAGCTTCCATGTCGGAAGCAAAGGAGGCATTGATCAACGTGGCGGTGGACGTGCTGTCGGCGCACCGCCTCGCGCAGAACCTGCCGCAGGGCGCCGCCAGCGCCGCGCTGCACGCGCCCATGTGTCTCCGACTGCTGCCGCTGTATATACTGGCGTTGTTGAAACGGGTCGGTTTTATTTATAGGGTGTTCTGTTTTTTTTTAATTTATCATTAGGGAAACAACATAGTGTTACAACACAAACAACAAATAACAATAAAAGAGTAGAAATTTAACAAAACAACAACACTTAAATTATATTATCAAAACATATATATATATATATATATATATATATATATATATATATGCAATGGTTATTACATATGCGTTACATGGATGCGATAAGGGGAAGAAGGGGAAGTAGAGGATTGTAAGTCTATTTCAATTAAGTATATTTTCATTTGATTTTAGTGGATTGTTTTATCTACAGTGCTGTGGTTTATTTAAACGTAATATTATGATGATGTATAATGTATAGGTCTTTACTTTTGTATACTACTTTACTTATTAATATAAAAATTAAAATATACAAAATATTATACTTTATTGTACGTCACAAAAGAAGAAAAAAATAAATAATTGATGCATAGTAGGCGGCCTTATAGCGATGCTCTTCCAGGCAACTTTAGAATAACTTTTGTTCGCGATGAACAAAAGAAATATTTGGATATCTTCTCAAAGATTTATATTTCTCTGTTTGAACAGAATTACAATGGTTTTTTCTTTGTGTTAGTGCAAGTGTCGTGTGCAAGAAGTAAAATTAGAATGAGGGTTGTGTTAGACTGTTAGATGATGTATGATTGACGTAGTGCGCGACGAAGTTGTATTTGAGTAAGTTCATTGGTTGAGTGTACGGCTCGATATAATAAAGTGCCTTATTCCAAAGGCAATAGGGTCGACGATTGGAAATCTGGACTTTAATTTAAAATATTAAAAAACAACTCCAGAAAGCGTTCCGCACGGGCACATCGACGCGACTGGACGAGCGTGTGGCGGACATGTGCCTGATGAAGTGCGCGCCGCTGCCGCAGCTGCTGCGCGCCGTTTACCCCGACCTGTACCCGCTGCACGCGCTGCACGCGCCCGCCCAGCAGCACCAGCAGCAGCAGAACCAGCAGCAGCAGCAGCAGCACCGCGACGAGGACCTGCCGCGGTTACAGCTTACTGCTGAACGGTATGTTGGATATTGATTCAGATTTAAGACTCGTTGATTCCGAGTTTAATCTATTAATTCAATAGATGGCGTATAATAGTACTAGATACACAATCAACGACAAAAAATGTCCTCACCGCATGTGCGCTCATTTGAACATTTGTGCGCGCTTTTCATTTTTTTTTGTGAAAACAACTTTAAGCATTGCATTAAGGTTCAATTTAAATTGTTGTATATTTATTCCAATTTAAATTATTACCTTATCACGATGATAGTTTTAAGAAAACTTTTGCATGGAATTGTGTATCTAGTAATTTTTTGATCGATGATGGCGGTAGTAGTATTCTGAATCGCGCAGGTGTTACGTTCTGATAGGTTTATATAAGTTTTGATAAATAAATACGTCACTAGGTCAGGTCAGGGTTATCAGTTCTGATTTCTAGTGGTTGTCGTATTATAAGGACTACTCACAATCATTTCTAACTTGATTACCACTTGCCTTATGATGAAGAAAAACATCTTGAAGAAACCTGCATGTCTGAGATAACCTAGCAAGTTTTCGAAAGGCATGCTCGGTCCACCCGCACTTGGGCAGCGTGGTTAACTATCGCCTGATCCATCTCGTATTGAAGTAAGGCCCGTGCCCAGCAGTGGGACGTTATAAAGGGTTATAAAAATATTAAAATATTACAGGATAAACATGAACGGAGCGTATCTACTAGACGACGGTGAAACGATGATTATATATGTGTGTCACGGCGTCAGTCCCGCGTTCCTGTCGGACATGTTCGGTGTGGCCGCCTTCAGCCAGGTGCCGGACGAGGCGAGACAGCTGCCTCTCGTGGAGAGCGACGGCAACGAGATGCTGCACGCCTTCATAGATAAGTTGAACGATGACCGGCCGTATCCGTCTGATATATTAATTCTTAGGTGAGTTTGTTTTATTGTTTTACATTTTAGTGCCTGAATGGTTGTATTTATACATCTATACAGATAAATAAAATTGAAGTGTCTGTTTGTAATGTTAAAATAACAGCGTTTTACTAAATGCATATGAAATTATAGTACTTATAAGAAAAACGCAATCTTTTAAATTTTTTTGTCTATCTGTCTGTTTGTTCCAGATGATATCTGAAACTGCTTGACTGATTTTGTTAGAACTTTATAAATATAGGTATATTTAAATTTATTTAAAAACTAATGACTAAATAAATTATATATTGTGTTTTTTTATATTTGTTCGAGATGAATCTAATCATTATGTTTATTTTGTATAGGAATCGAATTATTAAAGATAAAAAAAAAACAACTAATAACACTACAATATCTCTGTAGTTGTCAATTTTAAAATATGGATAATTACTTATTAATTTTTGTACTTTTATTACAGGGACAACTCACCATCTCGCCATCAATTCACAGAGCGTTTGGTGGAAGATCGCGTAGAATCTGCATTCTCATACTACGAATTTCTTCAACACGTTAAAACTCAAGTGAAGTGAAAGTGACGTAAGGTTTACGTCACGTTGACGTAACACCGGCGTGACGTGACCTAACATTGGCGTGACGCGGCGTGACATTGACGTGACACGAGTTACTGTGACACTGCCCTACATCGTTAAGCTATAGACGTGGTTCAATTGAATTTTATATGAAAGTGGTTTTGTTTAGTTGAAACGTTTTATATTACAACAATTAATTATTATTATTTTGTATTGCTTTATGGTATATACCTTGGTATGAATTGTATAAAAATTTAAAAAGAAAAGAACATCAGGGTTGCCACTTAGTTTATTTTAAATGTCATCTTATAATTTATATTAGAGTTTACAGTTAGAAAGTAAGTGCGTGACAAGCTTAATACAGTAAATGTTTATTTAAAGTTCAAGTATACTTTCATATAAACCGATTTGAAGGAAAACTAAGCGAATTACCACGTCTATGAAATAAATGTTGTTAGAATGTTATAGCTTCGGAATGTGAATGTTTGTGAAGAGAGCGTTTATTAAATCTACTGCAGCTTAAATATGTTACGACATTTTTGTATGTTTTTTTTAAAGTATAACATTAATATTGTAAATATTGTATATCCTCATAAATATATCACTTTTTTTGATGGATAAATCTTGCGGGGAAAAATGATGGGCAAAAATACAAGGGTATATTGTATCCTTTTGAGTCACTTTATACTTAATGTCCATAACATTCAGTGAAAGAGATTGTATATAATACCCGTTTTGCCCTCTCTGTCTATCCTGATAGGGATAAAGCGAGAAGGAATGTTACTCACATTGCACTATACACAGAGCTTAGAACTTCTTAATCTTCGTTTAAAATATGTCTTATTTCAATTAAAATAGATTTAAAAATGAACTGGAAAGAATGTACATGGAAAAGTAAAATTAATACTCTAAATTTTGAATATTTTTAATATATGTCGAGACACATTGTATGCACAGATGGTATATCAGATAGACAATATAAAGGGTACAGGCAAAGAACGGAGAATGTCCTAATGAATAAATTATGAAAAACAAAGCAATTTAAAGTTTAGAAGTTATAATATTTTTATTGATATCAAAGTATGCAGTAACTTTTACTATGTACATTTTTGGACCATCGCCCTTCTTTACCGGTACGTCATGGACATTCCTAGTTCTTTTCTCCTTGAGTGTAGATAAAAAAAACCAGTAAAACCCAGTCTAGGGAATGCAATTACCATAGACATAGATTTGTTACCAGTACAAAAAAATAACAAAAATTGTGACATTTTCTGTTATTTGCATGTACCCTTCAGAATTTAATTGGAACAAAATATAAGCCGTAAAACTAAAAGATTATATTCGTAGTATTTAGCTAGAAATTATAGAAATAAAAGAAAGGCACTTAATGTTATTTGTACTATGTGGGTTGATAATTATGCCAAATTTTGAACGCAGGGAACTCGAACGTACACTTTTTTCTATAAATTAGGCTAGTTTTCTTCTCACTCCGACGAACTACCAGTCTTATAGCCTAAATTAATAAGATCTTTGCAAATTATATTCGCTATAACGATACATATATATATATATATATATATATATATATATATTTATAATTGTTTTCTATGACACGGCTATAATTAAAATTAATGACGTTCGATTTCAGAAATTCCAAGATAGAAAAAAAAACTATCCGAGATATCTTCTTTAATTTTAGGCTTTTATTATTAAAAGAATTATATAAGTGGTCGTTTATTTAATGAATATTTATTATAAACTTTGTTTTATTGTTAGATGTGCTAAAACTTTTTGCTTTTATTTATATTACCAAAAATTCTCCTGTAGGAATGTTGATAGTGTCCTTAGCTAGGTGAAAATTAAAAAGTTAATTCGTAAAGCCGAATCGATTTTGTTTAATAATAATAGATTTTCTAATACGAAATTATTTTTTTGTATTTTATCAGTATATCTCAGCATATGTTAGGGCGTGTCTGTTTGTAACACGTGTTTCTATGAATTGATGCAATAATTTTTTATTGTATGTCGGTATTAGGTATGTGTTAGTTATTTTAAATGTTATTTATGTTCGATATTCGATTTTAAATTGAATATTAAGTTATATAATGGTTTTTACAAGTTGGCTCCTCACTTAGTGGCTTTTACAAAATATATCTAATTCTTTCTATCAATCACATCAGGGCTGTCAAATCGCGGGCCAATATAAATCGCTACATAGATTGGAGGACCACAATAACAAATATCTACGCTGATTATATTATTGGAGAAAAATTGAAAATACGACGATAATATTAAATTTAGTTTAATTCTTTATTAAAAATTTTTTACGGTTCTATCAATATCAGCATTATTGCGTTAACAGACGCAGTGTGAAAGTGACATATATTTGTCAGTGAAGACAAGATTTAGAAAACCACGCAAATTGTGGCAGATTAGAAACAGGTAGCGGGCCGCACAAATATTAGCCGGCCTGCGAACCGTGCTTTGGACAGCCCTGATTCACATGACACTATAAATTAGAGTGAGATAGAAATACAATTATTAATGTGTCTTGATGAAGTTTCGCATCACACGACCAATTATTTTAATCGAGGTATGTTTACTGTACAGTGGAGATTTTATTTTATTAATTTTATTTTCCTATTTGAATAGTTATCATATGTCGAAGGTTTTACTAAGAAATGCATGTTTGTTTATTCGTTTCAATAAATGATTTTTCTCGCCACATTTCCATTCATTTAAAGCGAAGCAGAAGTTAATCACTTAATATACTGATATTACTTAATTCAAATATCTATTTTGTTCAATATACAGTTATTCGTTGAAATGTAAATATTGTATAAGAATCAAATACACCATACATTTATGATATATACCTGTGCATGGTTTTTTATTTTTTCTCATAATTTTTATGGGTGGACATGGGAAATTGCTGCGTCCTTAAAAACTAGGTCTATCCCGTAATTAAGTCATTTTAATGGACAACGCTATACAAATGTGTATTGAAATTTATTGTTTTATATTCAAATTAATGCGGATTAGATAGACACTGCATCTGGAGTTAATAAAATCAACTGTTAACACTTCTCTTTTAGTACAGCTATGAGTAAGTTAGTTAAAATAAATGCTAAGCTCACAAGTGTCACGATTTTATAATAAAATTGGCGATACAATAACTGTCCATCGCGACTGATGTAAAGCAAATTGTAAAGTATTTAATTTATTGTTAGCGGACTGAAATCGGGAGCCTTGTAACTTGTTTCAAATATAACGAATACAAAACCATCGTTGTTTTTTTTTTCTTCGCCTTAGATACTGCTTTATTTAGTATAGTTCTTTATATATATACTATACGATATTAGCGTGAAGTCCGTCATAGCATAGACAGAGAGTGGACTGAGTCATGAGTGTTTCTTTTCCAGCCGTCAGCTAAAAATTGCGGAAAGGTGCGACAGAGACAAAACGAATGTGCGGCCAGAAGTATTTCTTCAAATCATTTTACATTCCAATAAAATATAATAATTTTTAATTAATTTAATATTATATTTTTTACATTCCCTTTTTAAATTTAAATTGGAATAAAAGACAGGTATTATCCGCACAATCGCTTTCCCTCTTTCTAGAGAGTGGTTAATTTCATGAAAGTATTGCTCAGTCTATTCTCTAGGTCTATGGTCATAAGTGGCTGAACAGTAATCAATATTACCACAGTCTAGTAATCTATACAACATTCCGTTAGAAAATTTAGGACGTGCAGTTTGAGACGGATGCAGCGTAACTTTTATAATATTAAATATAATTCTTTAGAGTTGATGAATAAAACTAACGTGTCAGAAATGACACTTCACTTCGCAACCGTTTACCATAATTTGTATTTTTTTTTAATAAACCTTGCATTAGGCGGGATTTTCGTTAGATCAAAGATCTACTGTATGGATTTTTATGCTATTACATTACTAATAAAAATTAGCAGTTTGCACACATAACGCAGCATCACTTGTGATGCGCGAACACTGGCTTTGCCCGCGGCTTCGAACGCGTTTAGATGACAAAAAAACAAATAAAATAGCTCTATTGTTATATATTTTTTCAAGATAAGGTATTTTTAATAGTTTTTGCCTTATTTAGTAAGTTACCTTGTTAAAATATATATAGTATTATCGTGGTTTTATTCTAACCAGTTTTTGTATTTTTTCTCAGAAATGAGATATTTTCCCGCGGTAAAAAGTATTCTATATGTTATCCCGGATAACCAGCTATGACCATACCAAATTTCATCAAAATCCCTCCAGTGGTTTTTCTTTGATGCGGTAACAGACAGACAGACAGACAAAAATTCTAAAATCTATATATTCGGCCTCTATATCGATAATAATGTTTATTTCAGTAAGATTTTCCAAAAAATATCTAATGTACAGATTCGGCTTAGTTACAATTTTATTATATGTATAGACTACATATGATAAGTTATGATTTGAATTTATATTGGCAATAATGAATAATATAATATATTTTTTATTAATTCTTTCCTTTCCTTTTTCTCCAAAAATCATATCTCCCGAGTACTCCGCTCGACGCTTAAGTCACCAGAAGCGCCGAGCGGAGTACTCGCGTCCGCATTGCGGGGGCCATTATAATTACTACAAATCCTCTGGATGATTTTATTCAGAGTAATGATGACTTTACATTGATATGATCACTGATACATAAAAACAACGTCACAATGACTTTACTTGAAAAATCATGATGACGATTGATGATTGCGCGATATAGAGCGGATATTGATAGAACACCCGTCATACTGTAGCGGTATTTTTTAATTAAAAACTACCTAAGTATATTATGTATGTACTCGTTTCTATGGATTATTGCATTATCTTCATATTTTTACGATTTTTATGAATCATATATACATTAAAATTCTTTAAGTGGGGCCAAAATATATTATATTTGGTAATAATACACATGGTTTTCACATAGGGTAAAACCCGGATAGT